CTTTCGGCTTTCATTTTTTTCCCTACTGTTTGCATTTCGAAATGCAAAATATGAGCAAGAGGAAGAGGAGCTGAACAGAGAAAGAGAAGAGGAAGAAATGCTGACCGATCTTTTGGCGATATGCAAACATCTGCCTTTGGCCCTGTTTACTCTTTTTTTTTGTCGACCACTTCTCACCGGTGAACTCAACTGTACTCTGGACCTCGAGGAGATCTTGGCTCTTCAATTTACTACGTGCGCTACCAGGAATCGGAGCAAGGATCATAGTGGAACTGATCACTCCACACCTGTTATTTAGGACACCATTAGCTACGTGAGCGCGGCTCGCGATCATCGTTCACGAAATCTCAAGACCACATAGGATCATACATATACACATGGACCGAACCCGAAAAGGCTTAAGCCAAACCTGTTGGTCCGCCTAATGCCGCACATTAATTCAATAGGCCACGAAACGAAACGGAGGATCGTGGGTTCGTTCATGCATGTAGATCACCGCAGCGGATCAAAACAAATATCCAAATGCAGACCGAAAACAGGCTCTAAACAGGTACAGGTAGTCCGATCCTCTGTCTGCGGCTCGTCTGCCGGATTAGAGTTAGAAAAAGGATCGATGGATGCGCCAAGGATCTCGCCGATCGACAGTTGAAGTGGAAGCCTTTACAGGGCCGGGTTGGTCCATTCCAATCCACTCGGGCGGAAGTAACAGCTGCTGCTCCTCCTGCAGTCTTGATCTGCATCTTTTCGGTCCTTGTAAGACGGGTTGGCAATTATCGACGCTGCAGCTGTAAAATCCCCAAAAACAAAAGGCCCATAAAGCCGAAATCACGTCCAAAGCTTCGCTCCCACACAAAAAGCTTCCTGTGGCTCCAATCGTTTCGCTGCACTGGTCGAAAAATTCAAACTTCATGTTCTTAAACCTTGAAATAATTAAAATTCCAAGAAGAATATTTAACTCTGGCAAAGGAACCCAAAAGATCTGTTCGGTTTATAAAAAAAGGGATACCTCTTGTAGTAGTTCAATAGTTATGATATTTTAACTTGATTTTTTTCAAGTGTGTGCTACTCTTCGATTCTTCTCTCGGTCTGAGCCCGATCTTCTTCTTCGACTGCTGTCGTTGTCGCACCTGTCGCACAATTTATTTTTCGCCCAAGACGCAAAAAGCCCAAAAAGCAATGCAATAACCACCGAAAAAATAAAAAAGGAACAGGCCAGCAAAAAGCAGTTGCTTGATGTGCAGCGCATATCCGTTTGTCTTTAGCTTCCTTTTGGTAATGACGACAGAGCCGAAAGAAGCAGCTGCCGTCCCAAAAACATGGCCAAGACAACAGCAGCGAAATGGCATGGTCCTGATCCCGAGATACTTGGCTGTATCTGCACTCCGCGAAGGAGAAGGCTCTTCCCAGCGAAAAGCGAGCTTGGTCTTGTAATTTGCAATCGTTCACATGCTGTTCTTGTCCGATTTTATTTGCTTTGCTTTATTTTAGATGCTCTTTTGTGGTCATAAAGTTTATCTGCCTTCGCCGGAGAACCTTAAAGAAAAGCAATTGCCAAAAAATATATTGAAAAATCTCCTTCTGTTCGGATTGTTTTTTTTCTTGTTGTTGTTGTTGTTGTTGGTTTCGGTGGGAAACAAGAAAGGGTTCACAGCCCTTTTCAGCAGTTGTAGATCAATGTCACATTTATGTTTTGATTTCAGATTTATAACTTTATTAAAAACATTCAAGAGGACTTACATTTATGTGCGTGTTCTTCGACACTTTTTATTACCGAAAATGAATGAACACATTTAACTGGATATATATTTAACAATTACTTAAAATAGAATAAGTAAATAAGATGCTATTTAACAACATTTTGCTTGCATTTATTTAAACTGATCAAGAAAATGGATAATTGATCTAAAGAGCATCTTAAATTCTTTTCCAACTCCATTGCCACGATTTATGTTCGTTTTTCGCTGCTATTCACTAAAAAACCTAATGGCTTACTCCTATTCTTCAATTAAAATACAATAGTAATTAATTTGTCAGTTTAATAGAGGCTAATAAAATTAATTGGTCTAAGATTCATTAGTTGCTAGCTCTTTGCCAAGTGAGAGACAGACAAATGAATTATTATAAGGTGGGTAAGCAATTCAAACGAAAATGTTCTTTATGCAAAAAGATAGCCAATCCAAATATGGAAAGTGATAAGTTGCCACGATCATGCATTTTTGTGTATCACACTTAACCTTAACCCCTTGGTTCCCCTTGGGTGCTACTGCAACGGCCGTTTGTGGAAAATAAATTGCTTAGGAAACGTAAACAAATTACAACAAATTAATAAAGCTGTTAGACGGTTATTTAATGGGCCAGAGGGCAAACCGAAGAGGGGAACCCAAACGCATATATCCCCGGATCGGGGTGGTGGCTTGTAAACGACGATGTAATGTGGAGGAAAATGCTATACCCCCTATTCGCCAACCGATTTTCCCTTTCTGGCAGACACTCGTCAAAATGGGTGTGAAGACGCTCGGCGAGATTAGACAATTTGGTATGGTTCGTTAGAAGGTTTGCGCTCGCTTGGCCAAAACGGAAAAAATCAAAACATCATTTCCAACGCCTTCCAGAGGAAGCGAAGAAGAGGGAGGGGCAGCACCTTTGTACCGTTACCGGTTCTCAAAGACGCAAACGGTGGTAAACTAGTTTCGCCGTTGGATAGTTGGCCTTCGCTGAATCTGAAAACTGCGATACCTCTGTCAAGACAATAGAAATTCGAAATACAGGCAAACAGAAGCAGGATAATGGGAAGAAGCAGAAAAATACAAGTAAGGCGCAAGGATCGCAAAGATCTGAAAGCGGAGGTACAGCTGCGCAGTGAACTTATAAAGCTTAACCCACAAAAACAACAATAAGTTTTTAAAAACAAAGTATGATTGCCTTTCCCTAAGGAGTTTCCGAAAATAATATTTCATAATTACAAAATATTTAAATAAAAAATAGTTTTTTTGAGATGTTTAATAACATACTTAAATACTTGATTTTACAATTAACAGTCCTGTGAATACATATGTACTTGCCCAAAGGGTTATGTTTGCATTAAAGGTTGGTTGGGGAATCAATTGGCATTCGGCAGATGTTGTCCTGTGGCGCATCCTTTGTAATTAACAAAGGAGTGCGATGGAGACGGCAGAGGAGAAACCCTGAGGCACGGACTAAGCCCATTAAAAGTCCCCAACAACTCGAGCCTGTTTGTACAGTTGCCATTGGAATCGCCAGTCCTTTATTTAGTCAGTCATTCAGTCAGTCAGGCAGTCAGTTAGTCACTCAGGCAGTTTGCCAACCTGTCTCTGTTTGGCATCACCTGCCATCGCCAACGTCTGCTGACTGTTAATGTGTTTAATGATGCCTTGGCCATCGGCGATCTCAGTTTAGTTTTCATTTATGCTAAATTGCGGCCCGAACTGTCAAGTAGTGTTGCCAAAAAAAAGATACTTTTACCGAACTTTAAGTGATATACTTAAAGATCTCAAAATACATATCCTCAGAAATTCTTAATACAATACGATGAATTTAAATAATATTGTAAATAATAAAGGAAAGCAGCTTCTGGTACCACTCATCTTAATCATCATATGATAAGTATGTCAACTTTTCTAAAAAGATTTGTTCATCAACTAGTTGAAAAAACAAGATCAGACTAAACATAAGCTAAACGCTCAGCTCTGCTCAAGGTGTGACTATGAGACTAAGTGAGATTCCAGATGTCGGGACATGCCTCGTGCCTCACCGATTGTCCTGATGCGATATGCGGGTAGAGCAGCGGGTTTTCTGGTTTTTTCCTCGATCTCTAGCCACGCGCCGCAACTTTCCTCGCGACTCTCGATCGAGGGCTTGCCGCCGATACACCTGCTCTCCTACCAAAACTTTAGCCAACTGGCCACCGAATGTGGGCCGCCCTAATGGAGTTGTCCCCGGGCCCAAGGCTCGCAACTTTTACCAGCTTGCTCTGGGCGATCATTAGCTGGCCAGGGTCTTACTCACCGAGCAACATTTTTTGAGCGTAATGTTTTTTTTTTTTCGTTTTGGTGGATCCTCCATCCATTAAGAAAGGGTACTAAAGCCTTAGCTTTAGAATTCGTTAAGTTAGCTACAGTAGCTGCATTAGTTTGCAATAGAATTTCCCCCCAACTGAAATCATTTTTATTTTTAAATTCCTTGTTTGCGTCCTTTAAAAATATTTTTACACTTGAGCTACAAAAAATATACATATGTAATTATTGTAGTTAAAAATAAAATAGCTTAGAAGGCAGTTTTCACGTTCTTTGAAATGAATCAGATTAGTGTCGCAGCCCCTTTTTGTGTGACATAACATACCCTTGTTCCATAACATTCCAGAACCCTCTTCAGGAAACCCTTCGTCCTGTCCAGAGAGAGTATTAAACAATTCGGCGCAGGGAGTGAGAGAGAGAGAGAGAGAAACCAAGATCAAGCTGCTCTTTGTAGCTCGTAGCTGTCGCCTTGTAGCCGCTGTCGCTTATGGCTACCCTTTACATTGAAGATTATGGGTTTATTGTTCCTATGAGTATGTATGTAACGGAATCGTTTGTGACCCAACTGGGAGCTCAAAAATAGGTAAAAAGAAACTAAAATTTAAAGAGATGGTGAATGTTAATGTTTAATTTGAAGAATTTTTATCACAATTTTTTTCGGGCTTAAATAGTAAGACATTCCTAAAATATCACGAAATTTATTTTGTTACATGTCAGTAAGAATGGAGTATCTGCTAGTCGGTAAACTCAACTGCCGCGTTCCTTTTTCGCAGCCGCTGCTTCTGTCGCCGTCGACCGCGAACTTCAGGAGTGAGAGCAGAGAGCCGAGTCCGAATTCTGAAGTTGAAGCCGTGGTAGAAAACGATAAGGTAATTGTTTTGTTAACGAACTGACGGACCCGACGAGACCACCCCGTACTTATTCTACCACGGTTGAAGCAACGAGCTGAGTCGCCGCCGTGGAGGATATCAATTGCGCGCAATCCATCGGCGGCGACGGTTCGAAAACCTGCTAGCTCCAAACTCCTGACTGAAACATTAAGTAAATAGTGACCAAGTTACTGCGGATCGAGGAAGTTAGAGCCTTGAACCCCGGCACGACGATGGTGTTTTAAACATTTTTGTGTGCTCGTGTTTGTTTGTCGGTGAGTTGAGTGCGCGCGCTATTTTTATTTGATAACTGCAGAACCGTTAGTCCCCAAGTGCCCTCCTAAAAAGAAACATCAAAATCCAAACGAGAAACCCCCAAAGAATCTGTGTAAAAGTGCAAAGAGACAGGCGGAGAATGCGCCAAAAAACAAGACAAAAAATAAGAAAAAAAAACATTTTCCTGGGTGCGGTGATCTTGAACTCGGGCTCAACTCCGCGTAACGGTGCATCGGCAAGTGCAGGAAAAAATGGGTGAGGAAAGAAGGAGGCTGCGGAGGCCATTGCATTTCTTTTGATTGCTTGTGTATCATCTTCGGGGATCTCTACTCTTCGCCCACTCTTTTTTGCGGGTACTTTCCGCTTATTTTTGGCGCAGCCTCCCAAAAGGTAATCTCTCCAAGACTAGCGTTATAAAACTGCCGTTAGTTTTTTTATGTTTAACCGTTTTTGGGTGCAGTCGAGAAGAGCGACTCTTTCCCAAAGATAATTACAGCAAAAGGAGCAGAGTTTATGTTGACCGTCAAAAATAGTTGAAAATAATGTTCTACTAAAAAGCCTTTTTGCGCCAAATTATTGTACGCAGAGGCGGAGAATATGGCGATTTTCCTGTCGTCTTTTGATTTATTTACATGTGCTTTTGCTTTTCGGGGGGCAGCACAAAGAAATAAGAAGCATTTCTTTGTGCAGAAGTCAAACAAACACTCTGACTCATTCTCTTCGCCGCGCTCTTTTTTTCTGAGCCCCAACGCGGGAGAAAGAGCAAGTAAAGTTAAAGTAACGGACAAGAAACAACAGCATCGTCATCGTTTCCAGCTATTCTCCTTTTCCTCCTGCTCCTCCTTTTCCCATCCATCATCACGTGTCCCCAACTCTGGTGCAGAGAAAAAGTAATGTTAGTCAAAAATTACATTAAATATTCTTAAATCACATTGATCAGCATTTAGAAAATCCTTTTTGTTTTTAGTTCTTAGTGACTTTTATTTTCGTTTTCTAGTTCAAATCGATCCACTTTAAAGTTATAAGAAAAATCATCAAATGATCTTTTTTTCTGTGTAAGCCTTTTGCTCTTTCCATCAGCCATGTCAGCGCCTTCATTATAATAATTTTTATTGCTTTTGCATAAATCAAAAATCGCACAAACCATACCACGAACCGGCAATCGTAAAATGTGGAAAGGCTAAAAAACATAAAAGGTGCGTTTTTCGGCTGTCTGCACTAATTTCACATAATGTTGTTGTTTCGTTGGACCCGCGTTTTTTGATCCTCGGTTCACATTTCCGTTACTGTTGCTTTTGTTTTTGTGCTAAATCATTGCGGTTCCTGCATACAAATTCATTAGTGACGGCCCCCCGTTCTCCGCTCGTTCTGCTCCTTTGGAGAACTCTCCGCCTTCTCCTCCCACACACTCTCGTTTCTGGGAATCGCCACTGTTGTTGTTGTCGTTGTTGGAGCACCTTTCTTGCAGCGGATTCTGCAGGAACTCACTCAGTCCCTCTTTCTTTGGAGCCTTTTCTGAAGAATTATGCTCCAAGTCTTGGAGCGACTTTCTTTTTTCTGGGCTTTAGGTTCACATTTCATAGGCGATAACAGATATTTTCCACTACATAATATCCAGATATGCAAAACAAAAATTTAAAATGAATTTCAAAGAAACACATTTTAAATGTTGTTGTTTAAAAAATAAAAGAAATAAAATAAATGATTTTTTTAAGAACTTAATTGTCTTGTGAAACATTACAGGCCTACAAAGATTAATTTGTTTAGAACAAAAAATTTGATTCTCAATTTCTCAATATGTCCCCAATTAAAGAGTTTGGCCGTGTAAGCATGTATCGTACCCCATATCAAAATGTCACAATCGTATGTATTCAGTACTAAATTCACAGACACTCTACATAACTTCAATACGCATCAACCCATTTCCCTATATTAATTCTATACATCTTTCTTCGTGGCACTTTCGGATTCTACGAAACCGAAACACACATAAAATTAAGTTCAAATGTTGCCCAGCTGCTTTGTTTCCAATGTTTTTTTTTGATGCTGAACTGATTACTGTAACCAAGAATGTGACCCTACAGCCCCCCTCTTGACAATTTGGTAACTAATTTTAGGGCCTGGTCTGAACCAAATACAGTTGTCGGTAAAATTTTATTGATCTTCGTTTTTTTTCTGCACAAAAATATAAAATTGTTTCATGGTCGATCGGTTGTTGCTTTTGCCGACGAAATCGAAAACTCGCCAAGAAGCAAACGGCAATCGGCAAATCGAATTCAAAACGCGTGTGTGGGGAGGGAGGAAATCCCAGATCCCAGAAGAAAGATCCCTGAAGAGGGCCCAAAAAGAGGACTCCAGACTTCAGACGCGCCACGACGATAACAACAACAAAACAGCAATCAGTAAATACTTGGTTTAGGCGGACCAATACACTGAAAATAAATTAGTTATAAAAAATCATGTGCGTTAAAAGAAGCTCATAATAGATTTTCAAGATAAGATTAAACAGTATACAAATTTTAACTAGGTTTTTAAATTAAAATTTACCTTCAACCAAACAAGTAAATTAGAATAATTTTCTATTAGGCTGGCTTTGGTTTCAGTGCAGTCACTGTCCCATGGCAAAAGCCACAAAGGGCCGCCCGAAAAATATTTTTATCTTGATATTTCTGTTTTTTGCCGCTGTTTGTTGTTGTTGCTGTTCTAAATACGCCAAAAGTTGCTTTCGGGGCATAAATATATGTCTTTAGTGTGGCATGTCTGGTTGCGTTTTTGGAACTTGGTAAATGGGGCAAAGGCAGACAGACGGACCTGACCAAAAAGCTGGACCCTGGATCCCGAAGTCTGGCAGAATTCATGGAATTAGTTAACGATTAATGATTGGATATTGATTTCGCTTTTGCGGCCTTTGAGCGGCTCTCTTTCGCGACAGCTCTCGTCGTTTCGCTTTTACTACTCATTAATTTCCTTTAACTATCTTGGGGGGCATTAAAAAGTGCCGCTGAGCAAAATTAAGTTCCTGGCGCAACATCTTATTCGTTTTGGCTTCTTTCACCATTGAAGGCATTTTACATAGTTTATTTGCGTTGTTGCCAACTTTCTTTTTGAGAGATTCTCTTCCTTATAGCGTCGCTAACTGCTTTACGATCTGAGCAGACATAAAACTCGCAGCCAAGGAAGATAGCGGATGGAATGGGGATGCTACTCAGTTCAGGTAGTATTCTTCGTTTCTGGGAAACTTAATTTGTGCTCCTTGGCCGCCATATCAAATTGGCGCTATCAAATACCTAACACGGGCCATACACACATACCTGTTTGCATATATATAGGCAATGCCCCATATAACTATGAAGCACAAGCTTAAAATTTGCTTAGCTCGGTTTCTCCACTGCGAAATTCGAGGCTTAAATTCTTCTCGGGGAGATTCCATCTAGAGCATCCCATAGCCCAAACATTTGCGTAGAAACTACCCAAAAAATAAAAGAGAACAGCAATTTTAATTTGTGTGAGAACTTGGCGCGTTTCGGTCTTCATTCGGGGTTTGTTCACTTTGAAGATTCTGATGATCAGGGTCCGACGGGGGGATTAAGATGGCGCATATTTGCCGCCGATCATTAGCTATTAGACCGACTCCTTGGCAACAAGCCTGATTTCTTGAGCGTGTAGATTGTGAGCAACCGAAGCCGCGGAGTAATTGAGCTGTTTGGGGCCTCTTCCAGGCCCAGTCTTCAGTCTCTATTCTCCAATCTGCCTGCCATTACTAACGAGATACGCCAAACTATTTGGCAATTAGCGGATAATAACATTTGCTTACACATTTGGGAAATAATGAGAAACTTTGTGGGAAGACAACATGCAAGCATGTTGCACTTATAGAACGTGAACATATCTGACTTTATGATTGGATTATTTTGAAGCGTAGAACATAAAAAAGTGGCACCTACCGAATTTAATTTGCATTTTAATAAAAAAAACTTTAGAATATGGCGAGTTGCACTTATCCCGCTATCATTGATCGCTTTTGCAGATTGTTAACAAATGCAACACAACATAATGGATTTAAGTCAAAAATCGCTTTTAATCCAGTTGAGTGTGGTTATTTGGACACAGGATGTTTTTAAAGTCTGTGCCATTAAACAAAGACTTCTTCGCCGAACACTCAGAACCCGCTTGGAATGAACCATAATTTCTGATCATTCCGTGCGTCTGGTGGAGATTCCTTCGGAGCTGAGCCAGAGCAGATGTGGGCAATCAATTGGAGAACTCGCAGAGCGAACCCCAATAAACGATGCGGTGATGGCCAACCATTTGGACTGATGACTGCACCACGTCCAGGGAGAGTGGCCCATAATACGCCATAACGATATCAACCAAATGAGTGAGCTTGGACTTACAAGAGAAAACTCTTACATTGAGGAAAAAATAAAAAAGAAACAATGAGTAGTTCTGTTAGGTGGTTTGGGGAGTGTTTGAACACAAATCAATTAACAGTAATAAACCGCTTTTAATTGAATGTAAAACTTCATTTGGTTGAAGAAATGTTTCCCATGAATAATTAATTTCTTGAATAATTAATTTCCTTTCAAAACTTTATCTGATTGTCGGATTCGATACTTCCTAGTTAGAACATATGCCCGATTAAAAATAGTCTTTTTGCCAGTGCAGAGATTGCCTCAGAAAGGGGTTGGCGGATCAGCGGAGACATGCCCACTTGTGGTGCAGTCGCTCTTTGTGCGCCAACTCATATTAAACCACCGTTATGCATATCAGCCACACAATTCAAAGAACAGAAACAGAAGAAAGCCGGGGACGCAAGAAGATCGCCACATATCGAATGGAGATTGGCGTGGCCGTGGCGTAACCCTTTAATTATGCCACATACGAGTACGATCTGAACTGAACAAAGTCTACAATCCACCGAGATCGTTCTAAGCCGGGATCTTTCGGGCTCACCTCTCGACGTCAACGCCTTTCGAATGGCACTCTGGGTTGGTCTTGGTCTTGGTCTTGGTCTGGACCAAGGAGGAGAACTCCTCTGCTACTTTCTAAAAATCTGTCCGGGAATATAAATTGCAGCCACGTTCTCGCTCCTCGGCGAGTGCGAGTCAAAAATTCTGCAGCACTCTAGTGCCGCATCTTAATTGCATTTCGATTACGCTGCTGCAAAAACAAACCGACCGAAAAACGAAAAAATACCTTTGCGAAAACTAGAAAACTAGAAGAAATGGAAGCAAGAGCAAATCAAATCTGCGAATGTTTGGCGAGGCAACAAATGTTGCTGGCAACATGTTGCACTTGCGAACAGGCCCGCAGCAATCGGCAGAAGTTGGAGCCTTCCAAATAGACAACAGATGAGACAGCCAGGCACGGCCCAGTCCGCATCTCTGGAACGCCTTTTATGCGATGTGCTGGGTCCCCCGAACCCAAAAAAACAGGTTCCACCGACCATGGCCAAAGCGATGGCCAAGTCTGGCGACCCGAGAGCTCGGCCAAGAGCCTAGAAATTGTAACAGCCAAGAGCGGAGGTTCGGTTCTCAGGCGGCGGACCTTTTCTTACCACCGCGAGAAGCGTCTGGTCCTGAGCCCATTTAATACAGTTATTTTTTTCGCAGCCCTCACTCGCTCTACAGTGGTCACTCTATAAGTTAACATTTCCTGGTCAACAACAAGAACTACTATATATTTAAGTTTTCTTTACCGGAATGGTTATAAATTCTTAATGCTTATCCATCAGCTTGCGAGCTCGATAATTTATTGCCTGTTACTTATTCATTTCCTGTAAATGTCGTTTGGTTCGTTGGCTTAGTTTTCATGTAGATTTTAATATTGAATTTAATAATGATAGGAATTAATAACTTAATTTAAACATACCATTATTTTTTTTGGAAATAAAATACCACATATATTTAAGTCATAAAATCAATTCCGGTTTTACTGTAGCTCTTTCTCCCGAAGAAGCAAAAGGTACATCAACAATGGGAAATGCAAACTGTTTTTGTCTGGAAGTCATGGCCATCCATGACCATTCCCATTCTTATTCCCGTTCACTTATCCCTGACTGCCATCGAAGCCTTCGATGCTTTCTTTGGCATTGCAGCTCCTGCTGCCTTTGCTGCCTCTCGAGTCATTAAAAACGATTCTACTCAAACTAGAACAGACCAACGGGCAACGAAAAAGCTGGCAAGTCTTTCGTAGAAGAGGAGAAATAGACGTCATAAATGTGCAGGAGAAAGGCCAACTAGCCGAACTGCAAATGCCCTTAATTAGCGCACCTCTTAGGTCAAATGGCTAAAGAGAAAACTAAAATAAAGATTAATGGTTCATTACAATTATTTGCTACTATGAAATACAAAAAATTGCGAATAATGGGATTATAAAAACAATTTGTTGAACCAATATGATCATGGATCTGTTAAAGACATTTTAACAGGATATATTTCATTTCTTCTGAAATTACAGCAATTAATTTACCTTTGCAGTGATCGAGGCAAATGGCCAACTAGCTATTAAATATTCTTTCCAACCCCCCATATATATTTCGAGTGCTCGAATCAGAAAAAAATTCCCCTTCCGATCCCGCGCGCTTTTAATTCCTGTGGGGATTGTCGATCGAGATATAAGGAGAAGTGTGTTATTGCTGACTTGTCAGCTGTTGGCTTGAGCAAATATTATTACATGATATTGTGCACCGCAGTACCACTCCGATCCCCACCGCCTAACCACTCCAGTTTTGCCCCTGATCCGAGCTCCGTTCCCTGGCAGCCTTTTCAATGAATTATTAGTTATTTCAAATTTATGTGCCGTGCGGTTTCTCTTCTCCCCGTTCTTCTGCCTTGGCTGCTTTTTTTTTATCGTGCGTCTATTTGCGTTTCCGCTTTCCGATCTCCAAGACTCAGACTTGGGGTCTCTTCTGGGCCGTTCCTTTCATTTGCTCAATGAAGGAGGCGAAGGCCCCGAAGAAAGAGGAGAGTCTTCGTGCCGTTGGGGGCGTATTTGCCTAACAAAAATAAATAAATATGAATTTATTGCAGCGTTTGTTCATTGCTGGGTTTCTTTTTATGTGTGTCGCAGGAAAGAATATTCAAACCTAATGCCCAAAAGCCCCCAGCAGCGATCAAATAAACAAATACCGAGCAAAGCCTCGCTTCTCCGTTCCCCCAAACGATATTATTAGTTTTATTATTTGCTGCTTGGTTTTCATTTGGGGCAGATAAGAGAAATACGCTGAGCTTTGAAACAGACCAAGAGCCAAAGAATCTCTGGAAAACTCCGGAAAAAGGGGGAGCGGGTGACTTTTTTTTCTGCTGCCCTGGCAATTCTTCCGCTCTGAAGCTTTATTATTTTTTTCTGCCCGCCTCCGAGTGGTTCTGGTTTCTACGAATTTGTCACGCTTTGGATTTCAAATTTTGTTGATGTTAGCCAACTGTTAATGGACCCCGCAGCATACTTCCATATACGTACATACAAGCTTCCTCTTGTGAAATCATGTGAGCCGTAAGTAAAAGGCATTTAACGCTTGATTTTGCCCGGGGTTTAAGTTTACCTGCTCTCGATCCTATGCGACCCGGGACTCCCACTCCTCCAGGACTATTGTTGGGCATTTTAAACCCGCACAAAAGGACACTCAAGTAGGGGCGGAAATTTAATATGAACTGCTGCTTATTTTTGTTCTCTGTTTTTGAAATATGAGATTTTTAGGCTTTGATCACTACTCTTATTGTTTGTGTCTACCTGCCTACCTGTTGTTAATTTTTTTTCATGTTTATCAAGATGTTCCCTGTACTTGCTGAAACTTTATATTCCTGATCTTCTTTGGTGGAGTTTTCTGGCGAATATGAATGCGAATTTCCCGTAGGACGGGAAGGTGTCAACGTTTTACATTAAAAAACAAACATTGCACTTGTCCCGGCCTATGGGCGGTTTGTAACAAGCAACGTGAATTTCATTTAAAAATTTACTTTAAAACTTCATTTTTAATTTAAACTTATAACTTGTTTTTAACATATACAATGTCATTTGTCGTTTCAGATCTCACCTTGCAATACTAGTATATTTTAAATTATCGGGCACACGAGTATTTTTTCCGGTGAGTTTTTCTTGCTTCTCATAAAATAGCTAAGAGTTTAAGCTGAGGTTTACTAAAGGTTTCATGCGCATGTTTCAGGCGCACTTCATATTTAATTATCCATTCCATACGTCATTGTGCCTTATAATTTTTCGACTAAGTACAAAACACATTTTGTATTTTTAAATTTTCCAAACGCGCGCGCTGTGTTGGTACTTTTCCTCCCTTTCCGTTACGAAACTGCCCGCACGAGGCTGCCACTTTAATTCAAGCTGAGAGAGCTGCCACCTTGTTGGCTGATTGTAAGAGATTCGCATGTGATTTGTATGTGCTAACAAATAGTGTCTTTAATGTTCGTTAAAAAAAACCAAGAAAAAAATAAAAAAAACAAACGTGAAACAAATATCAGCCCAAAATGTAAGAGAAATACGAGTGATGTGATTCCTATTTTGTTTAATTTTCTTACCTTTACTCACGCGCGAAACAAACGTCTCACGCTCTCATCTCTACTACATGGGGTTCGGCGCCCGTGCGAGGGTAGGTGCGCGTGTGTGAGTGCCGCCGCCTCTCTCTTACCGGCTGCCAAGTCGTTCGGGTTCAGTCCGTTAACGTTCGTGTTCGCTGAGAGAATCACCATCAGTTTTTAACCGTTGTTGTTTAACGTTGTCAAACCGTTTGAGACAACGTTGTACAGCTAAAGCGCCTCCAGCGGACGAAAAAGACTGCCAAATCGTTCGGTTTAGGTCTTGGGCTTAACGGGCCGACGGGCCCGACGAGACTTATACTCTACTATGGCCTCGCTCTGTCGTTCGTAATTCGTAAAATAAAAATAAAAATTGTTCAGTTTCAGTTAAAAAATATTCTCGCAGCGACTAGTTGTGAACAGCAGAAAGACAGCAGCGCGAGAAAGAGAGCGGAGAGAACTTCGTCGTGTTGCGCAGGCAATCTTAATTAATTTATTTACGTCTATATTGATTTTTTAAAGTAACAGCTACAGTTAGCCAAAGGCAAGGCGGAGCGAAGAGCGCGCGTTAAATAGTACAAAAATAAATAATACACACAAAAACCTGAGGCGAGTCTAAATATTTCGAGGTGAGTAAACCTATAAAAATAAATTAAGAAATTTTTATAATTTGTTAGTGTTGCCAAAAATAATATTTCTCTATTACTAGTTAGCTTGCTTTCTATTTTTTTATTTTTTCCGCCCGCGCACCGTAAATTAGTAGCAGTCTGCAATTGTTTATTTAAAGTTTATAAAGCGACTTTTTATGTTTATCTGTGTGAGCAGCGCAGTCGGCGTCGCTTAAAATTAATATCAAGCAGTTGCGAGCGCGTTTCTGTACTTTTTTTAGGTAGTTTGATATTTTACAGTAGACGCTGGCTTTGTTTTTATTGCGCTGCTGCCGCCGACGCAAGAAGAGCAAGAGAAGAGAGACGAAGATGCAGTTAGATGCACGCACACCTACGCACGCGTATATGTATATACATGTAAACGGCCTGCGACTGTGTAAAAAGCATGTACAACTCGTGAAAGCGGATGCAGATTGGGGATGGCAAGCATCGATTTATCGAAGCGGTTATCGTTTAACTTAGATAAATAACTCACCTGGAAGTGTTATTATTAATAATATTACCTTTTTAAATGCCTGACCAAAGTCCAAACTCTGCTATGCTGCATGTTTTTTGAAAAACCCGGTAACTAGTGCTTACGTGCATGCATACATACATACATATGTGTGATTATCCTGCAAACGAAACAGCGTAGGGATAGCAAAGACATACAAAAGATACTTTATTCAGATAATGTTATGATCACAAAAACCTTCTAGGGCCAGTTTTTTTTTTATAAACTTGTGAATGTTCTGCCGAATGTTTTTTTTTTATTGTTATGCTTCCTTTTGTTAAAAACCGGTAACTAAGTATGTATCCTCAAAGGTATTCGTTCCTTCTTGTGCCCTTCTTTCGCTGCTTCTTTTGTTTCGTTTTTTAAGACATTAAAACTACATCAATTATCTTTTCTTTTATAAGTACATATGTAGATACATACATACATATACGGACAAGGGTTAAAAACTACAGAAAGGGCGATTTGAGAATGATTTTAAGTGATGCAGGCAGTTCATTTTTGCTCTCTTACAACTGCTTGTCGTTAAGGATTTTTAAATTTTAAATTTAGTAGTTCCGTTTTCGTGTCAATTTCTAATTTATGCCCTACAAAAGAGTAAGCCGGGTATTAGTAAATAGTAATTTTTAACATTTAAAAAATATCAAAACTACATAAGTACATTATATAGATCACAAAACCCTTATTTGTGTTTTCGAAAATAACAGGTTTAGGGGTGTTTCTGGAGGAGGAATGGAGCACCTGTCGCACTTGTATCCCCCGCAGCTGCCTAAGGGGCGTGGCCGGCCCCGGGCCACATACGCCCAAACGGGAGAATTCGATCTGGGACTGATCCGGGAATACCGATCGCACCCAGTGCTATATGATCGCACCAACAAGCGTTTCAAGGACAAGCTGTATGTGGCCCAAATATGGGATCAGATATCCCACAAGCTGGGTTACGAAGGTAAGGCTTGGGTAACCGTCGACTATTGGCCATGGGGTTAATTTTAAATCTATTTGTTAGCCACCAGTTTAAGGGAGCGCATGACCACGTTGAGAAATCGTTACAATATCGAAAAGCGACGAGTCGAGAACGGCCTGTCCACTCAAGCCTCCCAATGGCCACTCTTCGAGAGCCTCCAGTTCTTGGGAGATCACATTCGACCGAGGCGCAGCTTTAAGAACATGTCCATGAAGGAGGATGATGAGGAGACCTACGAGGTGGACGACTGCCAGAGTGACAGCAATGGTCATATGGCTAGCGTCAAGGATGAACTGGAGGAGGACTGCGAGATTTTTGATTGCGAGCAGGCACTGCCCGTAACCACAGTGCTGGGGTAAGTTCACAGGCCACCAATGTACCCCGCTCCTGGGTGACCTGACCGGCTTCTCTTTCCAGGATCCCCCTGAACACCTCCGACGAAGCCAACAAGAGCCAGCGCTCGATGAACGGCAGCGAAATGGCCAATGGCAAGGGCTACAACCACTTTGCGGACAGCTATCAGCGGCGACATCAAAACCAGCCGGAGTACATAATCAGCAGTCCGATAATCAACCATCCCAACAAGAATAATAAGCGATCAGCACAGCATTCGAGTGATCATCCATCGAAGCGCCGGGCGGATGATAGTTTGTCGATATCCGGTTTCTATCCCGCACCGATCCCTGCCCCCTTGCCGCCGGCGTATGCCAAGTTCCGGGGATTCGGCGAGTTCATGTGCCACTCCCTGTGCGACATGCCGCCGGCCACTGCCTTGCGTCTGGTGCAGAAGTTCACCCGCGAATTGGTCCAAACCTCCATTCGCAACGAGGACAGCGGCAGCAAACCGAAATCCGATCAGGCAGAACCGAGCAGCGAGTCCCAAGAGGAGGACGAGTAGATTATAAGTTGCAATTTTTAATTACGGGTAGGGATATTGGCACGCGTGTCTACATCTATGCATATAGCATAATAGCCGCATTAATGACAGAATCGATTACTCCATATATGTTTTAATTATACTCTTTTAAGTCTTCTAGCCTCGCGATACGGCAGGTGGAAGATCAAAGCATTTCATTTATTAACATAGTGGAAAAAATACACTTATTTGCTTTGTTTTAAAGGCTGGGTAATTAGGGGTTAACTAATCAAAATTAATCAAATTTCAGATTCGGCAAAAGCATTATACTCTATCTGTAAGATGCACATCTGTAATGGTATAGAATCCTATAAATCCTATATAAAGGACCATACATATTTTAAACAATATATTTAATGGTTTCATTCATGCATCACCCAACATTTCGATCGCGAAAGACCCAAGGGAAATAGGCGCGAATTACCTAATACCACTAAGTTAATTTCTTGGTTCAATGACCTTCAGTTGACCTTAAAGTAAGTGAGTTAATGAGTATTCCTTTAAAAAAAGTATTTTGGAATTAAGTTCAAATCGTCTATTATCGATCTTAATTAGATCTTTATTCTAATTCCCAAAGTCCCTTTGCAAAGTAGACAGAAAAAAATGAGAGCAGGACTGCCCTTCTTTTCATTCTATATACACAAAAATCATGTTGCCATCCTGAAAAAGGGAACCATAAAAACATGTCCTTAAATTTTATTACTTTCTGTATGCTGGAACCACCCTAAAAAGCTTTTAAAAGCTCCAAATAGTTTGGCCCTTCGGAGTCAAGCTTTTAATACTATTTACATAAAGATGAAATCCCTTTGAGGAGCATCCCCCAACCAGAAATGCTGGAGGCTTTGAACAGTGCAATGGATTGCCAACCATGCTAATGAAATTCCTACCATTTAAGCCATTTATGCTTGACTTTATGCCACCCAGGATCATAGGAGGTGTTCCCGAGTGGGTCGCTGATCGATGTTGTAGGACGTCCAACGCACTAACTTACCCCGATAAATGCCCGAAGTGACTGGCCAACTGGAAACTGCAGTCGAAATTACCGGCCGAGCCATTGCCAAATGAAGCCCGAGTAGGCACAACTCCATTTGGACGATCTGGGTGGGGCCTCCAGGCATTTCTATGTGCGTTTCCCCTTGTTTTCCCATTTCTTTTTTTAATAATGCGTCTATATTTCTTAATTAAATTACAGCTCCTCGCATTTGGGAGTGAGTGTGTGCGGGTAATTACAGTGTTTATGTGCCACTTGGACATTCCTGGCTCCTTTTCCCAACTGGCTGGCTGGCTTATTGATATTGCCAAGGCCCACAGATCTCAGAAGGTGAGTGGAGTGGATTGGAGTGAAGTGCATCCGAGATGAGAGTGCAGTGGTACATTAAAACGTCACCTGATGTAGGCCGTGCCCAGTGCTTATTTGTTGCTGTTTGGAAATACAAATTGCACTAGTCCCGGCCTGCAGTGAGTGTCGCATTCAACGATCTACACTGTCAGAAAATTATTAAAAAATAAGCAACATTAATGTATATGAAAAAAAAAATGAATTTAAAAATAAAACTCATACTAGCATGACTAACATTAAACCCACAACAGTAAATATGTACATTTTGATCAGCAATCTAATCTAATCTTAACTAAATATATCAAAACTAATCTTATATTAAATTGGAAGTAATGATTATTTTTTTTGCGTGTATCGGGGCAACTTAACATTAACGTTAACTTAATGCTAACCGCACCACCAGAAACCATAGCCACGGCCATAATGTGGTGCTTTTGGTGGTGCGGCATTTTGCGTGCTGCTGTTCGTCAAAGTCAGCACCGTCTTCTCATCTTCCCATCTCGTCTGTCTGGCCCTGTAATTATATAATTTAATCAAATTACTTGCATATGTTGCCAAAAAAAGGAAACGCCAAAAACTAAGGCCCGAAAAAAGACGCACTCGAGCGGCAAGAAAGACTTGAGAAATGGCCAAATGCGGGCCAACATAAGTGGCAACAGAAATAAAAATAAATGCCAACGACAGCAGCTCCTGGCGGCTCCAAAATGGTTAATAGCCTCATTTTTGACAGTGAAATGTGCCTGCGTGTGTTTTCTGCAAGGGGAAAAGAGAGATATTTGCGTACTTTAGCATTCATCATCATTATTCTTCCGATGCGGTTGCATTTTAAATTTTTAGGCGCAGCTTAACGTGTCTTTCGGTGTGACAGTTGCAAATTGCAAGCACTCCAGGAGGCGGATAAAAGCTAACTGCTACGCATGCAATAAGTGTTAGAGAACTACGAGCTTTCGTTACTAGCTATTAGCTGTAACAGAAATTATCACTATGTAAGAGATAATAAACTGAACTATTGCAAACAGATTAAAAGCAAATACATTTTCTTGTTCTAGTTCTTAAACCAAATTTGAAATATATGAATGGCCTTAAAAGGAAATATTCTTGCTTGGATAAAATGGATTCCGAAAAATAATGAACAACATTTACGTACCAAAATGTAGTTCCTTAATTTGTGTAGGTAGATTTTCATTGCTTAGCGTATTGTTTTAAAATTATAAACATATGTTTACATATGTATACTAGATCCACTATAAATAGAGCAAAATATATAGTTGTGACCTTTGATCTTCGCTGATTGCCGCCTAAAATTATACAGGCTAAGTGCCTGTTATCAGCAAGCACCATTGAGGAAGGTTCAGTATATTTTTTCAAAACTGATGAATTAATTAAAAAAAAAACAACAAATTATTAAGCTTTCGCAATTTTTCATAACAAATTGTTTATAGGTTTTTGATTGCTTTAAATATATTATACAACGCTATTTCCTTCCAAGCTGAACTCTTCAAAGATGATTCTATAAAGTAAAATGCCTTCTTCGTTTGATGTATATGTATTTGTATATTTAAATTTAATTGGAGTTTTAATTATTGTTTAAATTAACTAAGCTTAAACACTTAAATAAACGCGCGAGCGTAATGTTATGTAATGTAATGCATTTATCGTCAAATAACTTTTAACCTCGTATAATCGCATTTTCCGTATTTCGAATTAAAATCACTCAAAACTGTGCTGTCACTTTTGATTAACCCAATCCAATCCGATCCGTACCAATCTCGATAGCTCGCCCTTACGTGATATATTATAGAGTAATATAATAAACAACGAGAGAGAGAGAAAGAGAGACACACAGGACACGACATCTATAGCTAGTAATTGTAATAAAATAGACGGGAGGCCAACGGAGACAAAGAGATCAATAACCACCAGCATGTCGTACCACCGTCACAATTCGTAGGTGATGTTGTTCATGTAATCGCGCGTCTTTCGCGCCTTGAAGGGGGCCGCAAAGTGCTCGTAGGCGTTCTCCGCGTTGTACGACGAACAGCGTCTTAGTCGGTGATGCTGCAGCGAGCTGCTGTACGGAGCGTTCCCGTGCCCGGCTCCTCCGGCCCCAAAACATCGCATGGCGGCGCACAGCAGGCTGCACCACCGCCACGACGAGGTGAAGGCATAAAAGTGACGTCCACTGCCGCTTCCTCCGCCCTTCGAAAGCAGGTGCTGACGACTGTGGTGCAAGTACGGATTGTAGTTCGAGCGGAAACTGCTGCTGTCGCTGCTGTGGCCACTGTCATCGCTACTGCTGTCGCTCCGCCGCAACCCCAGCCGAAAGAGATTACCATTGTTGTGGGCCGCGTTGGCGAAATCCTCAAAGTCCAAATGCGACTCGTATTCGAAGTCGCGATCTATGGAAACGGCGGGTGTGATGATCATAAATTGACTGTATTTTTGGCTGCGATTCGCTTGATGCTGTTGCTGCTGCTGTCGATTGTTGCGCTGCTGGTTGGCCAGCGAATTGAGCAGCGTCTGGTTGGTGTCCACCGAGGAGTAGCTGTTGCTGTTCGACACTGGCGACATGTCATTGTTGTTGTTGTTTAAATTTCCGCTGCTCGTGTTGTTGTTATTGTTGCTGTGCGTGAAGACGCCGGCGGGCGCTGGTTGGGTGGTGGTGACAGAGGCCGCGGAGGCAACCACCGAGTGGTGCTGGGGCTGGTAGTGCTGGTACTGCAACTGCAGCGACGGTTTGGCATGCTTGTTCCGCCTCTTGGCAACTGGAGCTGAGGTCTGCTGTTGTGGCGGTGGCAACGGCAGTGGTGGCTTCTGCTGTTGTTGTTGTGGTTGCGGCTGGTTCAGCGCTGGCGATGTGGTTGTGGGCGTGGAACCGACAGAGGGCATCCATCATCTCGTATCCTCCGTCCCGCTACTGCTGTCATCGGGCTTCACGATTTGGTAGGTTATCAAGTACTCCGGATAAGACTGCAAGAATGATTGAATAATTTAAAAACGTCTAAAGGCAATGGCTTTGATAAATGCCCACCTGTTCACCGCGATAGACAACGTATTCTGCGAAGTGGAGTCCTCCCGCCGATGGTCTTCCCACCACCGAGTGGTGTCCTGGCGGAGCGTGAGCCATCTTCATGGCGCTGTACTGCAAGAAGGATTTACCTAGAGCAACCCGGCATAACAGTAACTGTCTGTGAATTGTAAGTAAGTAAAATTATTATCTATTCTAGTATTTCTAAGCTATAACTCATCTCACCTGGGACACACATAGCAGGACTTATCCTTATGCGAGGGACACCCGATGCCTCCGCCTATTCCGTAGACATACTGGTTGCTCTTCGAGCTGTGCTCGGCAAAATAAATGCCCGCTCCGAACATTCCGCCAATGTAGGCGTGGCGCTCATCGAATCCGCGTTGCACGATCGCGTTAATGAAGGGACTGCCGTGGAAGAGCATTCGCTCATTGGATTGCAGGAAGTTCTCCTCGGCGATCTCATGGCGACGATGGGCATACCGCTCCCACAGCTTTCGGTTCTGCACTTTTTGCACCTGCATAGATAAAAAATCAATTGATTTTGTAGTTTCCATTTGGGATCTTTAAAGAGTGACTTACCCGAATGATGTTGTAGCGAGTGAAGTAACCGCCAGCCTGACCATTATCCCGATGCTCTCGAATTGTGGCCTGCATCTCCTCCTCGACTGCCACAAACTCCTTGTCATCCGGCAGCAGGTCCACCAACAAAGTGCACAGGTTCACGTTGTTACCGATGCCTTTAGGTTTAAACAGATTGGTAATATTAAATATAAATTAATTTTATGTTATCAGTATTTACCTGTGGTGGACCTCAGCTGAGCGATTCCCTTGAGTATTTTGTGGCGGAAGCCGTAGGCGGAGACGCCCACCTGCTTAAGATCGTCGTGGCCCATCTCGGCTAGAATGTCCAGAGTGATTTGCTCGCGTTCGAATAGCTCGATTAGGTGATGCAGCTGCTGGCTGCCGAGGAAGCCGGACACATTCGTGATGGTCTCCGCGTCCGGCAGCAGGTCATCAGAGGAGGCGCCCTCGGCCCCATTCGCCTCGGCGCCCTGGGCGGGGCTGATGCGCGTACTACTGGCCAAGGGAAGTGGTACAGGAACACTCAGAATCATGGAGGCACCGGTGGGCAGCAACACCGTTTCCGTGGTGGGTGAGAGAATTGAGGATGAGGACGACGACGATGTGCCTGCTCCCGCTGCAGCTGCATCCGGGGCGGGGGAACTGCTGGTCAGCGATTGCGTGGAAGCACTCAACGCCTGTTGGCTCAACGAGGTGGCCATTGCGTCCTGCAGCAAGCACTTGACATCATCCGCCGTGGCCAGCTCAATGGGCGTTTGTCCCTCCTGGTTCTTCATGTAGGCATCGGCTCCGTGGGCCAACAACAGCGAGCAAAGCTGCGTTCTTCCCTTCTGTGCAGCCTCGTGCAGCGGCGTGAATCCCCACTTATCCGTTGCATTGACCACCGTCTTGTGCTTGATCAGCAGCGCAGCAATATCCAAATGGCCATAGCTGCTCGCGTTGTGCAGAGGAATGAGACCACCCTTGTCTTGCGCGTTCACGTCTGCTCCGTTCTCCAAAAGATACTCGGCGCACTCGAAATTGTTGTATCCAGCGGCCAGGTGAAGGGGTGTGGAATTCCTGCCCTGGGCATCTCGACAGTTGATCGACTCTGCGGTAACCAATCGCTGAACCCGAGCCAAATTCCCCTTCTTGGCTGCATCCAGAAGAGCTGACGGACCTCTCAGCAGCTCAGCCACATCGTGATCGGATTCCTTGACCAAGTCCGCCGGAGTGGCTCCGTCCCGGTTCTTCTTCATGGGATCAGCGCCGTGCTTGAGGAGTAGCTTGCAAATATCGTACTTTCCCTTGGCGGCTGCTTCATGCAGAGGTGTAAACTTCCACAAATCCGAGACATTTACATTGGCTCCGTGCTTGACGAGCAGTTCGGTTACTTCATAGTGCCCGTAGGAGCAGGCATTGTGCAGAGGCACCAGTCCACCCTTATCCGCAGCGTACACCTCGGCGCCGTGCTCCAACAGAAACTGCACCACCGGCACTCGATTGAATCCGGCGGCAAAGTGCAAGGGTGTGGAATGTCGTCCATCCAAATCCCGGCAGTTTACTGAGATCGGATTGTTGAGTACTATGCGACGCACAGTATCCAAATCTCCCGCCTTGGCCGCCTCCAGCAAATGGGTTTCACTGTCCGGCGGATTTTTGAGCAGCTTCAGCACATTGTCCGAGGCCAACTGCGCGGCGGTGAGTCCCTCCAGGGAAACGATATTCGTATCCGCGGCGTAGGAGAGCAGCAGACGAACCGCCTGCTCATCACGGGCACACCGATGCAGAGGCGTCTGTCCCAGACTATCCAGGGCATTCACCTTGGCGCCCTGCTTCAGCAGAACCTCCATGGCATCGTAGTGGAGCAGCTCGGCGGCCAGGTGGAGTGGCGTTAGGAACGCCTTGTTCTTCTCGTTCAGCAGAGATCCCTTCCTGGTCAGCAGCTCCATCAGTTGCTTGCGCTTTCCATCCGGACACACAACGGCCAGGTGGAGCGGGGTATCCCCTGTGTACGGATGCACAAAGTTAACGATCTCGGCGCACACCAGCTTCTTGGCACGGGACACATCGCACTTTCGACAGGCGTCCAGCAGACAGTGGCCCTTGTACTCAACTGCAAAAGAAAATGAATCATGTTAGAATAAACAAAACATTTTTATGACATGCTTATGGTATAAATAGAACGACTGATTCACTTTTGTTTTAAATGTAGTTTTACTACTTAAGGTGTTAGTTTCGAACATCATATCAAGGATAAACATTTAGCACTTACAGGCGATTCGCTCCCTCAGTTCCCTTGTGGGCGCCGCATCGATGGCAGACTTGCTGTGGCAGTTGAGGAGAGTGGGATCCGCTCCGCGACTGAGCAGCAGGCTGCAGACCTCGACGCGACTCTTGGAGGCGGCCTCGTGGAGCGGCGTGAAGGCCCACAGATCGTTGGCATTCACATTGGCGCCCGCCTGGATGAGCAGCTTGGTCACATCGAAGTGGCCGTAGGAGCAGGCATTGTGCAGCGGCACCAAGCCACCCTTGTCCTTGGCATGCACATCCGCCCCGTTGGCCAGCAGGATCTCCACGATGCCAATCCGATTATAGCCAGCTGCAAGATGCAGTGGAGTGGAGCGTCGTCCATCGCTCGCATGACAGTTAACATTGAGGGGTGTGAGGAGGGCCAGCAGGCGATCCTCGGCTCCCGAGCGAGCGGCTTCGAGCAGTTCGTCCTTGCGGTATTCGCCGGTCAGAACGGGACGCGTCGCCTCGTCCGCCAGTTCCAGTGGTGTCTTCTGTTCCGAGTTCCGGATAGTGTGATTCGCTCCATGCTGCAGCAGAGCCAAGCACACGTCCACCTTTCCCTTGCTGGCTGCCTCGTGCAGTGGAGTGTAGTTCCAGTTGTCAGTGGTGTTCGGACTGGCTCCGGCTTTTAGCAGCAATCGCACCACCTCGGCGTGGCCAAAGGAGCAGCAGTTGTGCAGCGGATGCAGACCGCCTTCATCGCAGGCTTGGATGGAGGCGCCGCTGTTCAGCAGGAATTCGACCACTTCCCGGCGTCCATAACCTAAGTGGAAAATAAAACAAAAGATTCTGCCATTAGATGCTTTTCACTCAGTCTTACATTCTTTGGTCGATGGCAAGCCCTAGAAATGAGCGGGAAGGTCTTGAATTCATGGTTCTTTCTTTCTGGGGGCTTTTCCGACCTTGCCCATGGCATTAAAAATCACGTAGAAAAAGATAAGGCAGAAAGAGGTTATTGAAATTTAATATATGTATATTTCTAAATAAAATTTCATATTTACTTAAAAAAATTATAAATAAATAAAACAACCGTTATTTTTTTGAGTCTGTCACCGCATACTTAAAAAAAAGATCGTTAATCGGATTACAATCAATACAACAATGGCTCCAATTGTTGTTTACGTGAGACATCGGATCCCGTTATTTATCAACCAACTTTTAGGTACTCTTGCATTATCTTGCGGAAACTACGGTCTATGGCAAATCTCTGACTCATCTTAATTTGGCAATCAGACACACAACCGATTAACAACAGAAATGTTTACTGTCGTATTTATTGCTAACTTAATAATGAACTGCAAGGAGAACCGTAGCCAATTACAATCTGGCAAACAAAAGCTTGAGCCACCCACCACAAAATGGTTTACGAAACGTGTGCGCCGTTCACTTTTTGGTGGGCAAACAATTACGAAAGTTATGCATTAAAAATTAATAGAATGGAAAACTTAATTCAAACTGTTGCACTTGGGGCCGCAAAGCGTCAATTGCTCGGAACATAAAAGTGATCCTTGAGCGGGAAATATAATATCACCTGAGAATACGCTTAACCAACTTGATTTGCAATTACTGGCCTGAAGGTTAATTTGTTTTACTTTTTGGCCAGCGATAAAAGTTTGTTTAAAGTGTCTCAACTGTGGCCAAGATATGGAGGGAAGGTCTCTCCGGGTTTATCGACTATACATATATGTACGCACACCCCGACAAGATAACGGGGCAATGCCAAAGTAACTGATAGTCGAAAAGTAGCGAAATAAAACGATTGACTTTTATTATGTGTCACGAATGCGGGAAAGGAAGGAAGAAACGTGAGCTTTCGTTTCCTCAGCAACAGGTATTGTAAAAATTCGAATACTTCAAAATTTCATACATTCAACAAGGTGAAAACAAGCCACAAAAAATATCGTTAACTAAAACGACACCAGACAATAACAGACCCCTTGGAGATCTCACTTTTTGTTCACAGAACGTGACAAAAAAAAAACAGACAAACGAAAATAATAATGGAAAACCAGTTTAAAGAAAGAAAGACCCACCGAATGAATCATAGACCACCAGATAATAAAAAAGTGCTCAAGTTAAAAAGAAGTCACAAATGGCCAAAAGGCGAAATTGATATGCAAGGGGCGTCGAGTGAAACGGTTAAAGAGCTTTTGGGGGCCTGTTGTGGGGAGGGGGAAAGCCGTTTCTTTTGACTTTTGGTGCTGGACTGCCGACTGACAAAATATAAATCGCAATGCATAAAATGCTAACTAGGCCAAAGTCACAACAAAAGACGCGAAAATATTGAGCCAAAGACGTCACCAGGATGTGGCGCATGCAACGCAGCGGCAGCAGCCACAACAAGTCGCCCCACCACCCACTTTAGCGCCCAGCGCCCTTCGCTCACTATCACTGCCACCTATTCAAAAACAGAACCCTACGACTGCAGTCGAAATAATATTGTTAATAATAATCAAAAAATTGTGTTGTTAATCACACTCTTTAATATATGTATTTAAATAATTAGTTAATATATTATCTTTTAAAATTAGTAAATAAACAAAAAATCTGATCATATGTGGTAAAAATACGTTTTTTAAAACGATTTGTTGGATAATTTCGATAATTTTCCAGACATTTTTTATTTCCAGTGCTCAGCCAGTGAAAGCTCTTAGAAAATGAGCTAATTAGTGTGGCTCATTGTGCTATTATCTCAACCGCAGGTGTATGAATATTTTTCGAAAATAGAAAAGTTTCAAATGCAGCACGCACACACATGCAGCAGAGAAATGGGGGAGGGAGGGTTCTCTTCCGGAAACAAGCCGAACATATAGAACACATTCAGAACGTGGTAGAAGGCAGAACATGGAAACTAGGTCAACTCTCGACGCCATTGGAGCAGGCGAGTGTCCGACCGAGAGCGACGACAATGACGCCCGTCACACCCAGGCGCAACTAGCTCAAGGCCAAATCCCCACTGCAGCGGGGGGTTGCCAACGGGGTAGGTGAGTCCTTCAACCTTTCGAGATGGGGGTTTGGGCGGTGGTATACGGTTTTAGCCCGTCCTTGGACGGGGAGCCCCCATGCAATCTCGAGATATATCATCCTACTTACCCGCTGCGAAATGCAATGGCGTGGACTTGCGTCCCGCCGTATCCCTTGCGTTTACGGTCTGCGGCGTTATTAGCTTCTTCACCTTGGCGATCTCGCCCGTTTTGCAGGCCTCGAAGAGTTCCCTCAGCGGATCGTTGGCCATGACCGCATCGAGATTAACGCTCAAAATGGCCCGACTTCGACTGCTGTTGGCCATTGTTGTGGTTGTTTTTTCTTTTTTGTTTTGTTGTTTGCTACGCTTTGGCACACACACGCCCCAAAAACTAACGGGCGAAGATTCAGTGGGCTTTTCCTCAGCTAACTGTCCTTCAGTCCTAAGCAATGCTCGCGGTTTCGCCTCCCTGGCTTGCCCGCATCCTGTGTCCAGGTGTCCTCTGCCGCAGGAGCAACAATTTGCCACTGGCTGCCACGCGACCAGCCCTCGATTTTAAGCTTAATATTTAATGCACAAAATTGCAGCACCAAATCAATAGAATTTCCTTGCTCCGTCACTGTTCGAGTTTAGCATTCGCGGAGGGATTTTTTCGTTTTCGAACGTAATCGGGCCTACTTTGGGGCTAACTCCCTATTATTTGGCCTCCAAAGCTATTCGCACGGGCGATTATTTTACAATTATTTCACTCCTCCGCAATCTTGCATTGTTTTGTGACGGAATCAGAGTGACCGTGTGCGGAAGGGCAAACATTCCCTGATTATTTGCTGCAGTGTGGTCAGATGGTAGGGAATTAATACTAAAACGAGCATTGGCTAGTAAATAAATTTTTAAAATAAACAGAAGGAAGGCAAACAAAAAGTAACTGAAAAACAAATTCTTAGCAAAGTATAAAAATTAATCGTATTTATCTGTGAACAAGTAGAGACTGTATAAAAAAGTCGCTTGAGCTTAATTTAAAACTATATTTTGGCGACAGTTGTTCTACAATACCTTTTAGTTATAACTGTTCTTAAAAGAACAATAGTAAAATTAAACAACAAAGATTACAAAGGTTATTTAATATAAGAAAAATGTGAAATTTTTGAAGTAGGTAGCTCGGTTACTTTTAAATGAAAAGACTAGCCAAGGTGCCAACCAATATCTGACTAGGTCAAATATAAAAGTGTTGGCTGGCAAATTTAGGCATAACTTGTTCAAAGTATTTTGGGGTTTGTATTGATGTGAACATTTTGGGGCACATTTTACCATCTGGCAACTCTGCCAACAACAATGTTTGCGTTTATTTTTCGCTTAAATTCGTTTGAAAATCCGTAAGAACGAATTAAGTGCAGGGAAGCTGCTTAATTAAAAGAATATAGTGCAGATGAGAAAGTGAAAAACAACATAGTTCCCCCAGCGAAAGCGTTAAATGTTACAGAAAATCGGATATCCGAAAAGTGAATCAGAATTTTTCCTTGGCACACATACAGCCGCACGCCCAGCAAACACACACCTGCACGTACGGAACCAGTTGTGTTGTTGTAAATAAGTGCAAGTGAAGAAGAAGCAGAGGCTGCGATCGGAAAATTAAGCAAAAAGCGAGAAAAGCGGGGAAAACGTGGAAAAGTGGAAAGGTGGAGTGCAGTTAACACGCTTCGCTGACTGCGCGACAGCAGAACGCCAGTCAAGCGCCAAAAACCATTAGCGTAGAACACCATTTTCAGCTGGAGCGGCACAAGAAAGCAATTTTCTGGTAGCAGAAACACCAAGAAACGGAAATAATTGGTCGATTTTTAGAAAGACAAGACAATTAGCCGGAATGGAGCTGAAAGTTTGGGTCGAGGGCATTCAGCGGATTGTTTGTGGAGTTACAGTAAACACTACATGTCAGGTATTTAATGGCCTTCGCCTACTTGTATTGATTTTTCCCTAATTACCTTTTTATACCCGCAGGATGTGGTGTTCGCTTTGGCCCATGCCACTGGAAAAGTGGGAAGATTTACCTTAATTGAAAGGTGGCGCAACAATGAACGTCATTTGGCCCCCAATGAGAATCCCATGAAATTACTGCTTAAGTGGGGCGAGTATGCAAATGATGTGCAGTTTATATTACAACGATCCGAGAACAAAACGCAGCAGCAGCAACAACAGCAGCAGCAGAACAACAATAATAACAACAACACTAATTATGCTGCGATGACAACGAAAAAGCCGCTGGGCCCAAACAATAATAATAATAAGCCAGCGCCCACTTTGCAAAAGCAAAAGTCGAACGTCGAACTCGGCTACCGCACAAAGGAATTGAAAAAGAGCTTTGGGTGTGTGCTTGTTATAAAGTAGTAAATTTAAGACCCACCCAATCCAATTATCTTTTTAATTAAAATCAATCAATTTTAATATTTTACTTTCAAACCTTAAAACTCGATTTCTTTCAGGGCGTATGATGCCAAGCAGTTTGACAACATCGGAATAGTCAAGGGGATCCCGCAGCAGTCACAGCCACCGACTTCAGGAGCTGGGGTTAGCCCACCAGTTGTTCAACAGGAGCAGATGCCACCGCAGGATAACAACAATGTGGCGCTGGTGCCGAAGCATGAGAAATCGCTGTCGAATCCCCTTGACATGACCAGCACGAGCAGCAACCCACCTGCAGCTGCAAACAACTACAACGACTTCTACAATAACAATAGCAGCAGTAATCAGCATATCTACAGCCAGCTGAGCAAATCCAGCAATGAACTCCGTCGCTCCAGCCCCAACGAGAATTACTACAACAACAATAACAATAGTGTTAATAACAATAATAACTCACCGGAGCTGTACAAGCAGACACCGACGATTTCCGCAAATGGAGCCCTAGTCCCACCGCCGTATCGTGATCCGCCGCCACCGAGGAACAGTCCCATGTGCCAGGGCCAGCGTTTGGCCAGTAGCAATGCGGACACCATGTCCAATGCCTCCTCCTCGACTAATCCGTTCCTCAGCGACTACGACCAGCACAGCAACCACAACAATAATAGCCAGGCCATGGAGGAGGGCGAGACCATGTTCCAGGCCACGCAATACACCGATTTGCTGCAGCTCATTAAGTTTCAGCGGGAGAAAATCACGGCGCAGCAAATGGAATTGCAAAAGGTACGAGAATTGACTTACAGAAGTTATTTTTAAGTCATCAAAATTTTTTTTTTTAGTTTGATACGGAAATCGTGTTTTTGGAGAGCAAAGAACGCGATCACGCACATGAACTGGAAGCCATCTCGCGGGAAATCTCCAAAGCGGATCAAATCTTTCGGCAAGGCAGTGAACAACTGCAAACTTTGCAATATGTGGAGGAGGAAAACGAACTGGTCAAACAGCAGGAGAAGACTCTGAAGTCGGAGATTGCTCTACTCCGCTCAAAGTTGGCCAATTGCGAGACAGAGTTGCTGCAGTGCAAGAACAAGATGCGTCTGCTGATGGATGATATCGAGCTGGAGCAGCAACAGCAGCAGCAGACCAACAGGTATGCCGTTCTTTAAATTTTTGTTTTGAGGATTTGTGACAATGTTTGTTTTTCTAGGCAAACTGTGGAGCGTGACTTCTTGATGGAAATGGAACGGATACAGAGCGAAATTGACCAGGCTCTGCACAATACCGACTCATCGAACAAGACGGCGGACAGTTTGAAGAAGGAGCTGCTGATGATCGAGCACGCTATTGCCGACAAGAAGCGTCAGGTGGAGCAGCTGGTCAACGAGATGAAGGAGGTGAACTTGCAGAGCCTAACTGTTACCACCACGGAGGAGATCAAGCATCTGCTGGAGGGACCCAACAAGCAGGGCAGCAGTCGTCGAATCATCGGTTCGCCCAGGCAACTGGAAACGGCTGTTCCCACCAGTAAAAATCCTCACGGCGTCTGGGTTTAAGTCACAAACATTCTCTGGGCAGCGGAACTATTTTTCTAAACGTAATCCTTCTTCAACAATGAACCTTTTCGGGAACAAAATTTATGAACATATCTTGAATGCATGAAAGATTTGATGCTAAGCAAATTCCATACGAATATCACAAATTTACACAATATTCTATATTTAATGAATGACGTGCATTAGTATTGTTTTAATATGTTTACATTCCAACCACACTATGGATCTCTAAACGAAATGTTACAAATTTCTTAACACAACCCACATTTATATCCAGAATTTGCACTTAACTTTGTATTTTAATATAGTTAAAGAGTCGATTTCCACCTATCCCTAATCGTAACCGTTAGGAAGAAGCACTTGCGATTCGATAAAGTATATATTTCTTGATAAGGATCGACTAAAGCATTCCCCTTGTTTTAATTTTGTGTGCTATACTTTTGTTTAATTTTTGTTGCTAGTCTACATGTTAACAAAAACCCTTTCCAACCTATACAATTCGCCATTAGTTGTTAATTAAACAATGAACTTTAAATGTTGCAATAATTCGAAAACACGAAACTTGAAACGCCTTTTAAAAATTTAAGTAGTGCACTTAGTGATTTGTCTCCCACAGAGTAATTGATTATAGGATTCACAATTCGAATTACACAAAACTTATTGTACTTAGCAATTAGCGCAGCTTTAACAAACAAATTACAAATTAGCAATGCTTTGTTGAAAAGTTCCACTTCTAAAGTGCTTAGCCTTAGCCACCGCATAACGAAACACCAGACCGAAGCATTATAATTGCAAGGGTGTCACGGATTATAACTTGATGCCTATTTTGTAGTTTACAGTAAGTCGCTTCTGTGTATTATGTTTTTAATTAGCAATATTTAATATTTACACAAACTGATAGTGAACCACAAAAACACCAACTGAAATGCAATTTATTGAATAATATACATTACTATTAACTTTAAACTGAAAACGTTTTAGAACAAATTCTAATTGCATTATATCTAATTAGCTAATAAATACATTTTTATGATTTTTTCTTTAAAACTAAAAAAAAATGCTTGGTTCTCAATAATATTGGGGGTTTCGGAACTCCAAAAATTATATATTTAACAACAAAATTGGGAGAAGAGAAGGAAAACAACTTGTGCAAAGCTGGGATTTGAATTCGTGACCCTCGAGAGCGGTGGAAAGCGTGCGGAAGGAAAAGGAAACCGCAGCAGCCCAAATCAACGGTCAGCCGAAGTCCTGTAGGGATACGAAGTTGCTCTCGGCCGCCTTTCTTCTGCGAGGGAAAACAAAATCAGCAACACACGCTGCCACCAGCTTCAGTTGGCCGTTGTGCGTGGACGCGTTTGGTCCTTTTATCCTTGCTGAGTTTTGTCGGTCAAAAAACTTCTGGAGAAGCGCGCGCGACTTTCGATTTTCAAAAAAGTGTTGCCCACTTAAGAGGGCAGTGAAAGTGGCCCGAAAGAAATAAAGAGGCGAAAGAACACACATTTGAATGGTCTGTTTTGGGGACATCCCATCGTCCTATCGCATTGACACAATCTACAAAGTGGTCGAGGGAGCATTAAGTGGCCCGGCAGCAAAAAGGAACGAAACCGCTCCGTTTTTATGGCCCTTTTCCACACCAAATGCTGTTCAATTGCGATGATTGCGATAATGAGAGTCCCAGTTTCAGTTTAGGGATCATGCATCGCAGAGACAATGTGACCTTTTGCGGAAATTATGATTCGTCTCCGGCTGACCTTGAGCCCCCAGGGTGGCGTTTCCCTCCCAATTAAGTGAAAATTAATCAGCCAAAGAAAAAAGTCGTACAAAAGGGGGCTCCCTAATGCCGGGAACATATTGCACTTCCATTTTGTAGTTCATTTGGCAACTTTATAACCTTGAGTTTGGCTTAATGTCTTGCATAAATTAGGAAATAAAAGTGGCTACTTAAAAATAGACCATATGACGAATGGAGCAAAGTAATTTTTTCCACGGCTCGCAAAATTATTCATTTCGATTTGTTTGACTTAACGGGGGGAATAAATATAGTCAGGTTTATGACTTCCTCACCACATTTTTGTGAGATTTTCTCTTTAAGAAATTAAACTAAAACGAACATGTTTCATATTAAATAGTTAATGATTTTTTTACTTTTCTCGTCCGTTTGCTTATCATAACGAAAATATTTATTTAAAGACCGCCACTAAAAACACAAATATGAGTTAAAAAGACTCTTTTGCAACTGTCAATAATTTTAATCTGTCTGTGAAACTTAAGCTCCCCGTCTGTCAAAAGAGCGCTTTATGCATATTTTTTATGGACATCAAATCAATTTTATCCAACGCTGAAATCGAAACCCCACCAAGTGGAAAGCACTTGCCATCCAAAATATTAATTTTGAACTCCCCTCCCGTCGCCCCGCTTCCGCTCCATCTGCTGTGTAATCCTGGTACTTAAAACTCTTCCCGACGAGCTGTGAACATTAGCCAAATGAAGTGACAAGAAATTAACCAAAAAAAAAAAAAAAAAAGGCGACGGAACGATATAAGAAATAATAATATAAAAACTCAATGAGTCAGCACCGCATTGGTGTTGTGGGGGCGTGACCGCAGTGGGAATTGAGTGCTTCTAATGATGAACTCGGTCAAGGAGCCAGTGCAGCCACGGTGGCCAAGTAATTAGATAAGCGAGCTTGGAAAACGGGAGCGAACCGATAAATCGCGATGGTCTACGGGAGGAGCATCGCCGTGGGCGTCTGCCTGATGACCGTCGTCCTGTTTCTGGCCGCCGTGATATTCTACTTGAGTATGGGTAGGTAATCCCCAATTCAAATTGTTACATGTTTCTACACCTTAATTTAATAATAACCCCTTTAAAAAATTTTAAAGATTTATACTCATTTATTTAAGTTTTTAACGAAACTTTGACGTTTATTTAAGCAAATTAGATTAATTAATTAATCTTGGCCTAAAGGGTATATAATTCTCGAATCTATCAATTGAAGAGAGCCTTTCAGCTAAAGGGGTTGCTTCAGGCCAAACAAAAAACAAAATCAAACTCCAAACTGCAAAATGGCTATAAATTTTATACTCAAAAGTATTTGAAAGTAATTTGTTGTATAATACGATAAAAATAAGGCAGCACAGGCCGGGGCGAAAAAACAACAAATGCGTGACCATAAAAAATAAATAGGAGTACGGAACAAACTTTGTCTTGAGCACAAAACAATTTTCGCACATCCATAGACAAGTATGCGTATAAATATATCTGGGCTTTCGTCCTGGCTGTTTTTGGTTCCTTGTTCGAAGCTTTTATCTTGTTTTACGATTATCAATATCGAGAAATTTGGCCGCTTTTTGCTGCCTCAATATTATATTTTTTATGCCAATTTGCGTATTGATTTGCCATAGCAGCAGATATAGGCAAAACATGTTTGATTTATGCCGTTTTGTCGCCTCAGATTCCAAGTACATGCATCACGGCAAATTATTCATCTGCCGGAGAACATTCGTCCGGCTTAGGTTTAAATCAGGAGAACGACGAAAAGCTGATTTAAAGGAAGAAAAATAGGGAGAAGAATGCCAGAGGAGCCGGGATTTGTGTTAACATGTGTCCTTGTCATAGACACAATGAAATTGAAAGTCTCTCTTAATGCACATCGCATTTGTCTGTGAGCGATTCCTTTCCGAGGGCTTATTTATTTATTCGTAAAGGAAATGAAATTGAGTAATTTATTTATGCACTTTCATGTAAATGAACGATTTCAATTGATATTTACGTACTCTGTTTATTTTCAAGATAACAAATATTTAGTTTATTATCTTAATTTACTGATTAGTATGTCAAGCTGGTCAGAAGAAAACTTTTTATGAGAAAAATTAGTAAACAACCAAAAAAATATGTTTCTGACGCAATCCTTGCAATTGGATTAAACGCTGCCCAAGGTGCTCCACTTTCACTTTTATTTGCTCATTTGTCTAACGAACAATATTCCATAATCTCGTAATTTGAATTGCTTAATTTTTTGGAGAGAGTGTCCGTGGCACCCAAACAAATCGTAAAAATGATGAATGCAAAACAAAAATGTCATTCTTTTTTACGACAATTACCCCGAAAGTTGTAGGCATTCAGGCAGAAAAAGTCTTAAGATAAATTAATACTATGAAAAAAGTTATTTCAACCATCAATTGTTCGAACTCACTTAAACTTTAAAAGTTAAATTAGCCTCAATGGCATATTAATTTTTCGATTCATGCACTTGGTTGTAATGCTTGAAAAAACATATTGTTAACAAAGCAAACCTCTCAAAAATAAATGAAAAGACAAGGCAAAACTTTTTTGCACATTAAGTTTAATTGCCATGTCTTGTCAAGAAGGCAAACAATGAACTGAAATACTTTGCAAAACAGAGGCGATGAAAGTAATGGCCCTCAAATTAAGTTGTCATCTCGAGTTTAAAGTTTGCCTGCCGCCGATTAGGATAATTACTCATACGTAGTGTTTTCCATGTTAAGATTTTTCTTATTTAAGTGATAAGATTTTAAACCCAATTTAAACAAGAAAATGTCTTTAAAATGTCTTGTTTCACGAATGAATATTAAATCAATCTTAGTTCTAGATTTTATGAAATGATATCTGACCAAAAAATGTCCGCAGTCCGCTTCTCTGTCCTTGGGTGATAATTAATTTGGGATCTGTTTGTTGTGTTGTTATCCGCTTCGCAGGTCCCTGCCCCACGGGCAGCTTCGCCTGCGACAACGGCACGCTGTGCGTTCCGAGGCGCCAGATGTGCGACAGTCGGCCAGACTGCGCCGACAGCAGCGACGAACATCCTGTGGAGTGCGGCCTGCTCTACGGCAGCAAGGAGATTGCCGACAAGATTGTGCGTAATGCGATTGAAAAGAAGCAACAGCGCCTAATCTCCGCCACCGCTTCGAATGCGAGCGGCGTGGATTTAGCACCGCCGGCGGTGCCAAGAAATCAGAGCCTAACTTTAAACATGACTTGTGGTAAGTGGATGAATCAATTACACTCGCAAATTAATTGTTGGTCTAACGAATTTCAATTAACTTTTCTAATTTATCTTGAAGATTTTTAAGAAATGCTTTCTGTTCAAATCCTTAGATATCGTCACATATCCGAAGACCTGTCAGTGCGGCCAGGGAACAATCCTCTACTGCGGTCGCTATGCCAAGTTGCGTAGATTTCCCCGGACGAGTTCCGAGGTCACCAATCTGATCATCATCCGCAACAATCTGACTTTGAGAGAAAATATCTTTGCCAACTTGACGCGTCTGCAGAAGCTGTGAGTTAATATTACTTAAATGCTATTAATTGTACAAAAATAGTTTATTTTTTAGTGTAATTTTTTTCCACTTTTAAACGTGCTTTAAGCACATTAATTAGCAAGTTTAATTATGTAGAATCTCACCAGAATAATTCTCTTCCCGCAGAACGCTCAAGTACAACAACATATCACGTGTCCCGCTGGGCAGCTTCAGCGGATTGGTTCACCTGGAGCGCCTGGAGCTGAGCCACAACAACATCAGCCACCTGCCCCACGGAACTTTCGTGGGGCTGCACAGCCTCCAGTGGCTGTTCCTGGTGAACAACCACCTGCACCGTTTGCCCGTGGAGCAGCTGGTGCTCCTCCGCCGTTTGGAGTGGTTGGTTTTGAGCAGGAATCGCCTCACACTGCGAAATGTGCAGCTGCCGAAAATCCCGTCGCTCTACGAAGTGTGAGTAAATCGAAATGGGTTGGCAATCGGGCTGCTCTTCTATTTGCTAGATTAAAAACTGAAAAGGAATCGAGTCGGTCTCTGGACGCCTCGCTGATGTATTCAAGCGTAAAATGCTGTTAAGAGCTCGTGGTGCACCTCGCTCATTGGGTTACCCGGTTTTGGGTGTCCTGGTGGATTGCTCGCCTTCACCCATGAAAACAGTTGGCATAATGTTGTCAACGGGGTTGCACTTACTTAGTTTCCAAAGTATCCGTTTGATGTCTTTTGCGATGTTTACTCAAGTTTTAAAGTCGACGTTTCAAAATCATAAACCCTTACAGTTTACTATTTTAAAGCACAAAGTCATGTTCTGTATTCCAAACAGCTTGGAAATTTATATCTTACTTGGGTCTTGAACCTTAAACCTTTCTCATCTTAAAGTCGGTTCTCAGTTTCCCAGCATCAGCAGTGATTATCTTACATCTGCCCGAGAACAGAAGCATTCCTCACTTGTCTACACAAGCACACAGAAAAAGCTTAAGGTTGCCTTAGAGCACTAACCCAAAAATATATGTATAGGCAAACTAGGCCTACAGCTTAGACAGATTGTTGGATGCCAGCATAAATATCTCTTTTCTTTTACAGTTATTTGGATTTCAATCGAATCGAATACATCGGCGAGGAAACTTTCTCCCAATTGGATAATTTACATTTGCTGTAAGTAAAACAATCAACTTTCCTCCCCCCGACAAAAAAAAGAGATGAAAAAACCAGCAAGTGTCGAAAAGTCTATTGAAATATGTTGTACTTAGATTTTATGGGGCGTATGCGTAATTTTTACTCTTCGTTGCATTTTGCTTTCGTTTTCACTGGATTTTTTTTTACTTGTTTACTTTGAGAGATTTATGTGGGTTACTTTGTTACCGAGTGTGGGGAAAAGGAGATGGAGAATTGCGTATACGCACTGTTGACATGACACTGAAGACGATATTTGATACTTCGACACCTTTTTACCGGCAAGCCAAAAACAATGGAATTTATGCATCAATAACCATAAATTGGCACGTTTATTGTTTACGCAAATAACGTATGCTAAACAAATTCTTAAAAGTGGAGTGGCATGGAATAAGAAATGTGGAAAAATCGACTTGCAAGCCGAATGCCTAAATACCTTCTAAACTTAATTTCCTTCAGTTTATTTAGCTACCAAATTATTAGTATTTAAGTTTGTATCTGTTTCGTTTATTATTTTTAAGAATTTAAAATCATAAAATAGTAGAGGTAAACAGAAACTCTGTGCTGCAGAAACCTAAAACAATTTAGAAGCATTTATCAGAGGCCCCCTTTTGCCTTCAAAGTCGCCGACTGGCGGAGCATACATAATCATTAATTTATGCATCAATAGCTGACAATATAAGTCAATGGGTCGTCTGGGTGCCCGACGCCTTGCTGCTAACTGAAAATAAATCAGTTACCCAAATTGCCCAACGTAAATAAATGTGTTAACCTTTACAGACATTGAAAACGAATGGGGGCGGTGAGATTTGTATGGGATAAATTGTGTCGCAATATTTGTGCCCATCATCTCTTCATATGTGTCGCCAATTTATCTGGTAATTTTCAGCATATGGAAGGTTAAATGAAAGCAAGCAGGAAGAATAGTTAGAATAGATGCTTAGACTACAATTAACCTGAGTAGAACTATAAATAAAATTTAGTAATTGTCATGATTGAATATACTTTGCCGAGAGAAGTTTAATAATAGATGTATTTATTTTTCACAGAGATCTGCAGAATAACCTCATCACCCACATCCATGGAAGGGCTTTTGCGAATCTAACCAGTTTGCGGGATATGTGAGTATACCAAGGGGCAGGGGAATGAATTCCACTCTGGATTTCTGAAAGTTTAACACCGACACTAAGCATGAATTATGGCGACACAGAGCTAATTAGCATAATAATACGAATAATGCTGGGAGACAAGTAAATGAACTCGAGTTCTGGTCAAAGAATCAGCGCAGGACACAAAGCCGCAGGATTGTCCCCGAAATAACTCGTAATTTGGCAAAGGATTCCTACCCCGCCTCTAGTTGGACATTTGCTTTGTGATTCAAAACCATATTCAATGATATTAATTTGAGTTCATTAATGCGCAATTACGTATACGGAATGTGACTCTCTGTTTATGAAAAATTAAAGTTGAAAACTTTTGCGCCCACAGACAGATAAATAATAAAATGGGGAAAAAAGTTGGCTTAGATGTTTACCAAGAAAATACTCTTCAAACCGATCGAATTGATTCTGTGTATCAACAAAATTTCCTTGAATATAAATATATTTTTATGAATTTGACCGCGCCCACGCTATAAAAAAGTTTACCCCTTGGGCCAACTAATCTAACCTTTATAGTCATAGTTTATTATTATGCAAGTTATGGCCAACTCTAAAGAAAGTGGGCAAATCTATAAACGGCAGTCGTAAAACAGACAACAAATTGTTTAACGCGTTGAGGAAGGAATTTGATGAGCCTCAGACAACATGGCGTATGCTCAATATTGAATAGTAAAAACTTCTGAGCGCTTTAAGCATGGCTTGCAAATAAATTCCCCAGGAGCCGTGCATGTGGCTGAAACAAGAATTGAATGTTGCTTTCTGGCTTTCATAACCATATATCAATGGCATATTCAATAAATGTCTCCGGCAACTCTGCATCCATCGTCTAGCATCAAGCTGTGGCCTTAATAAATTTACCAAACCCATCTAGCATATATACATACATCAGCATATCAAGGATGATAACGGACACACCACACCGCTTGACCAGATTGGGTGTATTATACCCGAATAAGCCACCCGAATTTTGGCTGTTTCATTTTTGTATCTTTTGGGACTTTGACTTCTGGCCAACGCAGCCGGAGCAACAAATAAACAAACATTATTATGGCCAAATAAAAATGCAAATAAATTTGTATTTTATGTGAAAACAATTTCGCCAAAGCCTTGGCCAGTAACTGTAACCAACTCCGGGCCAAGTTGTGGCCCAATAATGAAGGAGTTTATTGAAATCGACTCGGGCGGTATTCCCCAATCGTCATTGCTTCATTAGATGTAGCCACTCCCCCTGCGAGCTGGGAATCCTTTACGCCTGTTGATGACACCTCTCACCATCTTGGCACCGACCAACCATCCGGTAATCTCCTCGCCCCACCGACCCATGCAAATAATTCGCCCTTTGTTGGCGTGCAAGGAATTTCTCAGCATTCCAGCAGCTCGTATGCCAAGTGTTAGATTTTACGGCCACACAGAAAATAAAAATTGGTACCATTCGAATTCAATTGGATTTTAATTCCTTTTGTATTCATGCTTTTCCTGACATCAATTCAAGCTGGTTAGACATTAATTTAATTAAACCAACATTCCTTACTTCTGCACCATGGATGAGAAATGTTGTGGAATTAGTTAACTACTCGCTTTACTATCCCTTTTTTTTGTGTTGTGTGCATCGACTTAAGAAACTGCACAAAAATTCCTTTGGCCAGCGTATCTGGGTCCGTGTATTTGTATCTATCAGATACGCATCTAAATGCTGCTCATGTATCTGTCTTCCTCCAGCAATTTCTGCTGATTTGTTTTGTGTTCGGTATCCCCAAGGGCTCTCGGGTGGGAACGTGGCCATAAAACAAACCGAAACGAAAATATTTGAGAAATCGCTGCACTAATTTGATTCCTGATGTCAAGCCACTGAGCCACTGACAGCTCATTACAGAGATTTTTGGATCGTACATCGGTTTAAAGACCTTCAAGACCAGCATTGTCCCCTCGACATGGTCGTGACGTTAATTATGGTCAATACAAGCCCCTCCCCCGCAGCCGTTGGTCAAATGGGCAGTGCAACAAATGCCGCAGTACCTCCGAAGAGCACATTGCCCCAAAGAATCCACAACTGAATCGTGCCGTTTGCAAGGGAAGAGCAAATGGCTCCATTTGGTTAATATGCACTCATAGTGAAATGGGGTACATTGAATATGACGAATGAATAAAATTTTGTTAAATATTTTTATATACCTAAATGCAAATTTAATTTTTTTAATTACTATGTTGATTAGAAAATGAGCTTCATTATTATCTTGTATACATAGTTTTGGTAATACTCAATAACCATTATAATACTTTTTATTGATTGGTTTCGGTTTCCCCTAGCTCTATTTATTTTTAGCTGATTTAATGGTATTATAGGGTGCTTAGCAACTTGTTCTACCCGTGTTATCCCCCCACAATAGTGATATTTCTTCACCATGATTCCTCGCTTCTTGCACGTAGCTCACAAACACAACTAGAGGCATTTATTTGCCATTTTCTTAAATGCGCAATGACCGTCGTCCCGCCCTCCATCGTTTACTCAGTCCTTTTGATTCTGACGCATTTGTGATGTCCACTTTTTTCGCCGGAATGTGACACGTGTTTGTGGGCACAGAAGGATGTGCTCTTCCATGAGCAATGGGCATTACTTGGGGCTTATTTGGAGGCCCATCGCCCGGGGGACTGCAACTTGTTGCCCTCAATGAGAAATATGTTAATTGTGCTCGTGTGTCGTCGTCTGGTTTGGTCGGATATTTATGAAGTTATTAAGTGCGTACTTTTGGGGCCAGCGATTTCAGCCGATCCGAGAGGCCTGCCCCTCAATAATTAATTTGAAATTTACATAATAAAAATTATTCGGGCAAGCAGGGCTCATTTTCAGACGGCTCAATTTGCGGCCAAGTTAAATATTTAGTTTAAGCTTTCCGCAGGCCACGAGAAACTGCGCTCCAACTTTATAGCCAGCGAGCAATTACCAGCAATCTGTGGTCGCTCCTGGTGGGCGTGGGTGGGGTTCTTCTCCATTGTCTTTGGGCGACAATCCATAAAAACAAACTGTTAACAGTTGGCGCTTCGGCATTGATTGACCAGACAAGTGCAAGCAATGGAGCTCCAGCCAAGATCTCAACTTCAGCTTCCACATGCACATCCATAGCATCATCTCCACCAGATTCAGTTCCCTGGAACTCACATCAGCTGCTGCAATTCTCATGGACGTGACACGGTGGAACCGAAGCACCCCTATCCGCAAGAAGCGAAAATATGGGAGTTATTATCCCCCAACGCGATAAACATAATAATAAAGCTGAATAACTTTCTCCACACGGAGAAAAAGTGTCACTTGAGTAGGTCATAAAACTTGCTGTTTGCATCACAACTTAAAAGAAAGTTAAATTTTTTTTAGTATATTCAAAAAACATTTACATAATTGAATTAAGATCGGTTGCGAGTATACTTTAAGGAAACTTTGCGGAAATATATTTTTGAGAATATTTATTATTTCAACTTTACGATTAAGACTTTTCTCGTAAGTTATTAAGTCAGTGGCTTTTTGAGCCACTGTGCCGCATCCTGTCTGTCATGAATGATGCACACTTTCCTGCCAACACATTAAGCCCCGGCCAGTTGCATCTAGTCCACACATTGATAGACAATGTTTGTGCGCTGATTTATACTCAGCCAGCTATTAAATAAGAATTTTCGTTATTATGTTGCCCAGCGGGATTTTATTATGTGACTTTTAAAAGCCCCAGCCAACTTGTTGTGGCTTTAGCTTTAAGACGCGACAAGGAGTAAATTGTTTTTGAGAACTTTTAAAGGCGACAACGTGTGCCGGCTTTATCAGCAGCAAACGTTTGGCCATTATGAGCGGCTAACGCGGCGTATGCGTAACCTTATATCTGCAAATAATTCTTAGACGTGCATTTCGTTTTACAGCCGCCTTGTCGGTAATCCCATTAAGGAGTTATCTGGCGAAACATTTCTGCACAACACTCGACTGGAGGCACTGTGAGTATACTCGGAAAACAAATTTAAGGTATTTAAGTTCAGACAACATTTATCGTACAGTTAATCGGCATTCTAAAGTTTAAACTACAATCAACTCCACCTTATAACTTTTGAAGAAGAATAAAGTGAAATAAATATTCATCATTATTTTAGTTCCCTGGCTCAGATGCCCATACACATCCATCGCAGCTTGATGGAGCCTCTGAACATCTCGTTCCTGAATCTCTCGGGAATTCGATATGATCACATTGACTTTGCGGCCATTAACTCGATGCGTAACCTTACGTACATCATCTACGATCGCTTCTTTTACTGCTCGATGACGCCGCGGGTGAGGATGTGCAAGCCTTCCACCGATGGAGTAAGCTCCTTCCAAGATCTCTTGAGCAAGCCGGTCCTCCGATATTCCGCCTGGGTGATGGCCACCCTGACCATAGCCGGTAATGTTTTGGTCCTTTGGGGACGCTTTATCTATCGGGATGAGAACGTGGCCGTCACAATGGTGATTCGGAATCTGGCCCTCGCCGACATGCTGATGGGTTTCTATCTGGTCACCATTGGGGTTCAGGACTACCGCTACCGGAACGAGTATTACAAGTAAGTGGAAGCCGATTGTTAAGATATTATTATATGAATATATTAATTTATTTTACTTGTCGTAGGGTTGTGCTGGATTGGATCAGCTCGTGGCAATGCACTGTAATTGGAACCCTGGCCGTGAGCTCCTCGGAGGTTTCAATGCTCATCCTAGCCTTCATGTCGCTGGAACGCTTTCTGCTAATTGCTGATCCCTTCCGAGGCCATCGCAGCATCGGAAGTCGGGTGATGTGGCTGGCCCTGATCTGCATTTGGATTACGGGAGTGGGTCTGGCTGTAGTTCCGGTGCTCTTGTGGCGAACGAGCACCTTGCCCTACTATGGATCGTATTCTGGCACCTGTTTCCCTTTGCACATCCATGAGCCCTTTCCCTTGGGATGGCTTTACTCGGCATTTGTATTTCTGGGCGTCAACCTGTTGCTGCTGGTAATGATTGCGATGCTCTACACGGCACTCCTCATCTCTATATGGCGGACACGGAGTGCAACTCCGTTGACTCTCTTGGATTGCGAGTTCGCAGTGAGGTTCTTCTTCATTGTGCTGACCGATTTTTTGTGCTGGGTGCCCATCATTGTCATGAAGATCTGGGTGTTCTTCAACTACAACATCTCTGACGACATCTACGCCTGGTTGGTGGTCTTCGTGCTGCCCTTGAACTCGGCGGTTAATCCACTTTTGTACACCTTTACCACGCCAAAGTATAGGAATCAAATATTCCTGCGTGGCTGGAAGAAGATTACCTCAAGGAAGCGAGCGGAGGCAGGCAATGGTAATGTGGCCACCACCACGACTGGCACGGGCACAGGATCCTCTCAGCATCCTGATGATTCCACGGCGTTGGCCAAAGCCATGCCGCTCGCTCTTACGCTGTCAAACTAAGGATGCTTGCAGCGGAAATCAAAATTGTATACCATCTGATTTAGCAGCATTTATTTTGTCTATGATATCGAATATCTTTATATATGTACGTGAAAACCTAATCTTATCCGTGTAAGTTAACCAAAGGAACGTGTGAAATAAATTGAATGTGATATTTGTAAGGCAATTTCGCAGATTTGGTTATGGAATGATAATTATTACTTTAAATCTTCAATCCTTTTAACTAGAACTTCTTCTAGTTTCCTTTTCCGGGCTGCTGTCTGTTTGTTGCTGCTCTGTGCAAACCTTCGTCATAACCAATTTGGAGCGCGCAACGTAAAACTTGCGCATCTCTTCAAGTTCCTCCAACTCCACTCGCATGCCATGTTTCCGTTCAAGGTGCACTCGCAATCTGAAATGGGATTAGGCAACATTAAATTTACACTTTATTGTATTTTATGACGGAAACAAACTTTGTACGAGCTGGAAAACTCTGATGGCAGCGAGCACACTCAAAGGGCATCGCCGTATGGGTGCACTCGTGATTTCTGAGAGATGAAGACGAAGTAAAAGACTTCTGGCAGTCGGGGAACTCACAAATGAACCGGGACCCATTATGTTTCACCTGCCGGTGGACAGTCAAATGCGATCGCTGTGCAAAACGCCTATCGCAAAGATCACAGGCATAGGGAAAGTCTCTGTTATGATAGCGTTTATGAATCTCCAAGGCTTTTGGGATGGCAAACACCTTGCCGCAAGTGTCGCAGTGGACGCCGGACTGTCTGTGCTTCGAGACCACATGGTTTTTGAGGGAATGTTTGGTTAGATAAATTCTATCGCACTGGCTGCACCGAAAGTGGGGACGATTGGTCAGGTGAATCGACCGGTGCTTGACCATACGGGAATGGTTCTTAAAAACCTTATGGCAGAACTCGCAGCTGAATTTTCCCAAGTGACGATGCCGCGGCAGAATGTCCTCTAAGTTGTTAAAGTTATTAGGGGTTTCCTCCTCTTCGTAGTCATCCTGCTTTTCCTCAAATTCCTCAAGTAGAAATTCCTCATTCATATCCTCCTCGTCCTCCTCTTGGTGTGCTTTGCCGTCCAGATCTCCTGAGGGTTCGTCGACTTCAAATATCTCCTTCAACTGCTGATTGGCAATAGCCACTTTCTTGTGGAAATCGTATGCCCATTGTAACTCGACGGCACATCGTTTGCACAAAGTTCTGGGTTCATTGCTCGGACTGAGGCGTAGATCTTGCTTAGTGCAGATCTCGTAGCAGTCGTAGTAGCTCAAGTCCGCGTCCTGGTCATAAATGCTGTTCATGTCCAACATTTGGTTAGGATGCGGCTCCTCCAGACACAAACGACAGCAATTGTTCAGTTCCAAAAAACTTGATGCGCCCGGAAGTGCGACTTCTTGGGGCATCAGTTCTGAGGGAGCTTCTGCAACCCGCTTTTTTATAGTGAAAGTTAGGGTTTTGCCTTCCTCCAGCATTTGTGTATCCATCTGTGAAGCGCCCACCATCAATAAATTGAAAACTTTTCCTTAATTTATTTAATACTCACCTGTTTTCAATTAAAAGTCCCCGCTCAAAATACTTAAGTCGAAGAAAAACTAAACACAGCTGCCACAGAGATGCCACATCTTTTATAATAGTCTGGCAGCACTTCGAAGCGCTTAAATTTTTAAGAACTTTTTGCTCCGCTGTTGTTTGCTTTTGCTGAACGTCTTAAAATGGATCAGCATTACGAGTTGGAAACCACATCGAAAAGTCCTGAAACGGACATTCTACATCCCGATGACGCGCAGTATATTTGGCTCCCCATTTTGGTACTCGTTGGCATTTTTATTCTAGCGGCTTTGGTGCGTTACATTTCTTATCGCTGAATGTTTGCTCAAGTGCATTTACATTTGTTTAATTTATGCATTTGGGTGCCCCTAGGTGTACGCCATGTCTCGTAGTCGTTGTCATGCTTCCTGGGAATGTCTTAAACGCAGAAAGGCTCCCAGAAGTGGGTACATCAACGTGGACGAGGAGGATTCCGATGTGCCCATGGCCTGTGGGGATGAATTGGGGGAGCAAAGGATTACAGCTACTCTGCTCAGCGGTCGCCTGGAAATTCAGGATGTGAGTGAGCCCTGGAGAATGTCGAATTCCAGTTATAAAGCTATTTTATTCACAGGGTCCAAACAACGCCTAGTCAATATTTCAAGACTTCCATAAACTTTATTGTCCACGTTGTCTCCATACGGTGGTTGTCATCGGTTAAGTTACTAATGCAAACTACGTGCCTCTACTACAAGTACAACGAAAATAGCCCTAGTTTTAATGATTCGTGTTGGTGGCGCCCAGTATTCGCGTCGTCAGGTCGTAGAAACCAAAGAAGAACGCACCGCCCAGGGTTATCCACATTACCCGCGGCACAAAACCAGCAAACAGACTGAAAAATAATACATTAATAAATGTAAACACAAAGAACCTAACTTAAATATTTACCCGCTAAAACCTCGTTCTTGATAAATTCCACGCAAAATGCTCCGGGCATTGCGACGTCGGTTAAGACTTTCTCGTTCAGCAAGCATAATTCGGGTCTTAACCACATCCAGTGGAGTAGTTAGTCCTGCCGAAATTCCACCAGCGATGGCGCCGCAAAGAGCCACGGAGATGGGAGTGGACTCGAAACCAGTGACGGGCGTCCATTGAAGCTTAAAGTACTCCCATAGGGGAAATTGTATAAGACTAAATGGAATCTCCCGCATTATAGTAGATCCGAATCCTCGGTAAAGTCCACGTTGAAGGCCTTCAGTGCGATATGCCTTTAGTAGGATTTGCAGGCCAGACTGTTTGTTGCCCAGTAATGTTTGGGAGCGTTGCTTGGCAATTTCCACGGGTACACGAATTAAGCAAGCCAACTAAAGTGTACAAAAAGGTTTTAAACAATGGAGCGGGTATGGCGTTTCTAAGTATGTATTCACCACTTCCGCTGCCGAAGCTGCTGCCATGTGAACGTATGGAGAATCTTTGGTTTGTGTTACGGAGCTGAGAAACTGTTTACCACACTCGTAGGTACAGAAAAACAGAGCAGCCGTGGGAGCACTTCCTGCAGCGGCAGGAGCAAGTCCTTTGTAGATTCCCTTGAAGCCCCCAGCCCGCCAAAAGCCCAGTTCACTCTGAAGCCGGGTCTTAACGGTGTCTATGGGAAAGAGGGCTATATCGACCACAAGGCCAGCCACGCCTCCAGCCTATAAAACAACGTTAAGGATTTTTGATTTCCATAAGTTACTTCAGTTACTCACAACAAGAGCATGCAGAAATTTTAATTTGTTAACCGGCTCTTGCATGTCAATTTCGATTGAGCCTGCGGCCGAATCCAGACTTAGTTCCGCTGCCATGTCCTAAAATTATTGATTGGACCCTCACTTTATGTCATGCTGCTAGGATATTTGTTTAAAATAATTAAATAAACAAAAGAATCGCAATGCGGTTGTTAACGTAACAGTCAGCTGAATTTTTATTGTCTGGCAACGCTGTTTACATCAGCTGTTTGATGTAGAGTTTTCATTATGTTGAAATCTCTATAAATATTACATGTTTTGAAAAATAATATATATTTTCTTTTTGGATATCAATGATATTATATATTTTTTAAGTTTGCGCTTATAAGGAAATTTTATAATTAAAGATACATTTTTTTAAACCTTGTACATGCCCCTTGCAACCCTAATCGCAGTTGTTCTTGTAAGAAGAAGAGGAATCAGCAGCACCGATTTGGCCAAGTGGAATAAAGCGCAATTGGCCGTGATTTAACCGACAATATAAACTTCTCTGCAACTCCTTGGAAAACAATAAATTAAGGATCGAATCATGGCCCTTCGCTTGACCCAGAGATTGCTGCAGACGCAGACGCCGTTCCTCACCCGTGTATGTTTTCACGGCCGGAAAATTGGCCAACAAATGAAAATTACATAATGTACGGCTGGTAGATCCTAAAGATCTTTTCTATCTATTTGTTTTACAGGGCTACCCCCTGCTGGTGACCAAGGAGAAGACTGAGGATGTGGCCCATACCAAATCGGCGCTGCAGAAGAAAGTGACGGTGAGCGCAACCGCTGGAACTCAACCCCAATTGAGGTTATAGCATCCGTATATATCTTTGTGAACAGGGCACCGATATTCCTTCGGCTCAGTATGGAGGTCGTCATGCAGTCACCATGCTTCCAGGTGGCGGAATCGGTCCTGAACTTATGGGCTACGTGCGCGAGATCTTCCGGTACTGCGGTGCTCCCATCGATTTCGAGGTAATTGACATCGACCCCTCCACCGAAGGCAACGATGATCTGGACTACGCCATCACCTCGATTAAGAGGAACGGTGTCGCTCTGAAGGGCAACATTGAGACGAAGTCGCAAAGCTTAAACGAAGTCTCCCGCAACGTGGCTATCCGCAACGAACTGGATTTGTACGTGAACGTTGTGCACTGCAAGTCCTATCCGGGAATTCCAGCCCGCCATCATGACATCGATGTAGTACTTATCCGCCAGAATACTGATGGCGAGTATGCTATGTTGGAACACGAATCTGTGCCCGGAATTGTCGAGAGCATGAAGGTGGTTACCGTAGAGAACGCCGAACGCGTAGCCCGCTATGCCTTTGAGTTCGCCCGCCAAAACAACCGCAAGAAGGTTACTACCATCCACAAGGCGAACATCATGAAGCTGTCCGACGGCCTCTTCCTGGAGGTTGCCAACCGCGTGCACAAGGATTATCCCGAGCTGGAGCACAACAACATGATCATCGACAACACTTGTATGCAGTCCGTTTCCAATCCGCACCAGTTCGATGTCATGAACATGACCAACCTGTACGGCACTATTGTCTCCAATGTTCTTTGCGGACTTATGGGAGGAGCTGGCCTCATTTCCGGCAGGAACTACGGTGATCATGTGAGTTTCTTTAGTTTTTAAGGTATTAAATACCCCCATCAAACCTTTTACTTAAATATCAGTATGCCATCTTCGAGCCGGGTACCCGCAACACAGGAACCGCCATTGCCGGTAAGAACATTGCCAACCCGGTGGCCATGATCAATGCCAGTATCGACATGCTGAACCACTTGGGCCACAAGGAGCACGCCAACGTCATCCAGGAGGCCACCTACCAGACCATCGTCAACGATGCCATTCGCACGCCAGGTGATCATGATCCCGTAGATTTCTCACCCTGCAGAATAACTTATTTAATATTCGTATCTTGCAGATATTGGCGGCACCCACTCCAGTACCGATGTGGTTGAAAACATACTCAAGATCTTGAGTGCCAAGCGCGTGAATTGGTAAAACAATCGTCAACATTTAGAGTAGTTTATATGTTCTTTTTCGCGCTGTCACAACCAAGTGCTGTATTTTCTATTTAGTTTTTAAACAAACATCTATCGCTTGTCCCCTTTTTACTTCACTCTTGCGATGGGTTCGTCCAGGCGAATCTTGTATTATAATTTCGTGCTCTGTTATTGTATTATTTTACTGACTTACTGATTAATTCAGCAGAAGTGTAAGTGTTAATGCCGAAATGGCCTAACTGTGACCTAACAAACTAGCACACCCACAAACTACACTTAACAACTAACTTTTTGGTTTCTTTTTAACTTTGTTTATTGGGAATTTAAATGTAAACAATTCAAAGTAATTTTTCTAGTTGACACAGAACTTTTTTTCCGTTTTTCGTATTTAAATAATGAAAAGTTACTTTAAATTGTATAAAAATTTGTTCACTGTACGTTTTAGCAATTACTGCTTCGTTGAACATTTCTGTTGTATATTTGTCTTAAGTAGTGCTCCAGTAGATCACAACACCACACACACTCAGTACACAAGTATGTAGTTTTCGTTTTGAACGTGTAACCAAAATGTCCTTGTGCAGTTTTAATGAACAAAATTATTCTGTTTTTTCTCCCTTTCCCAAAAATCCAAAATGCTTATCCGCTCCGCAGGCCACATGGAAACTATTTTAGCCAATTTTAGGCACTATCGCAATACAGAAACTCAACCAACAGCTAACAAACTCCGCAAAATAAACCAAATCGAAACAAGTCTAATACCAAACCAATCAAAATTATATTAACCCACAACTAAGCCAATTCGAGACATCTTGTATCCCAAGCCAATGCATTCAGCGCTAATGTGATGCCCAGAAAAAATCGGTATAATCGAGGTCAAATTATTCCGCTGCTTTACCCAATCAAAATAAATGTCCATTGTGTGTTTATTTGATGTCCAAGTGTGATAGTTCAGGTAATAACAGTTTTAAGTATTTATCAAATATAATTACTTTCTTCTTTTTATAGATATTAATATGTTTTTATCTTGTACTTCACAGATTTTCTTGCCGGCCCTATCCAATGTTTCTGCACTCTGACTCTTTTCTAACCCCTTACTGAGAGCAATACTTTTCTTTTAACTTTCATATCTTAAGGCAAAAGCTCATGTACAACCAGAATAACACACTTTGCACTCTTCAAATGCCGAGCAAGTCTCCAAAAATAGTCAATCAAAACGATATTAATTTGTAATTAAACGTTTTCCAAATGAATGGTAATATCGAAAAGTTAATTCAAACAAAATGTATTATTCTGTTCGAATATTTATTAGTAAAGAAGAAAGTAAAAAAGACACTGTACTTGTCAAAGTTCTTTCAATTCGGGGGGATAAATACCACTATAAGGGGTAGATCACATACATCCAAAAGTATTCAATTTCCAATTGAAGAAAGAAGGCACAATTTTCACTTAGGTCATTACATCTTTGTTTATTAAACCTTAAAATCCAGTAACCACAAGTAGCGAATGGCTAGCTTAGAAACGCAGCTTCTGGAAGAACCACTTGTTCTTGCCCTCCTTGTAGACGGACTCGAACTTGACGCGGGTCTGGAAGCGGTGAGTCTTGCGCTTGACGGGGTCCTTCAGGTCCTTGGGCGACAGCTTCTCGAAGCTGATGTCGTGCGCCGTGTAGCGGGTGGGCATCAGGTGGTTGTAGTTCAGGCTCTTCAGGAAGGGCTTGACCTTAGACTTCTTCTTCAGCTTGTTCTTGCCCATCTTCTTGGTCACCTTGCGCGGGTAGCGATCGATGCCGGCGACGAGGGCGTGTCCGAAGGGCTTCTCCGGGGTTCCATCGTCGGAGGTCTTGACGATGATGGCCTTGCGACCGGCGTAACGTCCACTAAGGACGATTACGATCTTGCCCTGCTTCATAATTTTCCTCATCTTGGCGGCTTGCTCTGTAAATCCAGAAGAAAAGATAAGGTTAGTAAATTGCTTATAGATCCAAGGATTCTTATTGGTAGCAGCACAAAACGGCTTGCCATTTATTGTTAAAATCCACACTTGAAGCCAAAATAACTTTTAAACTGGCACGTTTCTATTGATTTAGTACGCTGATTTTACCCGCCTAAATTAATGCGACAGTAGACTAGGATTTTATGCCAATTAAAATTAAAGCTAAAAGATTCTAATAAATAAAACAGTCCCAGGGAACATGCGGAAAGTAAGCACTAAATATTATTTGGATTTATCATATATGTAATCATACGGAAACTGCCACCATCAATACATTGGTTTTTCGTTAAAGGGTCGATGCGGTTCGTTTTATTGCTTCGAAAACTATAATCTCATTTGGAAAGGTATATAATCCATAAAGCATCCCACTCACAGGTCTACCGACAGGTATAAAAAGTTATTTTGGCTAAAATATAAATAATTTCATACGCGGAGCACACCACTCACCGGAAACGGGCAAAAAGAAAAGAAGGGAATTAGTGTGGCATAGTGCTGGGTAATTCCTAGCGATAGTATCGATATTATGAGATTCGATAGTAAGCGATAGTGGTAAGCGAATTTTATTGAAATTGCTGCATTTGTAAAATAATATATGCACTAATATTCTTCATAATTGAAAAAATATTTTTTTGGCGGTAAAACTAAAAAAAGGACAACCAGGAAACATCTTTAATAATATCGAATAAAATATGTAAAATAGTGTGGCAGTGTTAGTTGAACAAAGCGTTCTAAATAGCACTTGCCATGTGACGGACGGTTGCTATTTAGATCAGTTTATTACGTGCTTTGCAACACTGTATAAACGGTTATTAAGTTATATTGATACCATAGACTGATAAGAAATTTGTTTTTAGTATTGATATAAATAATTACCAAGTTTAAGCACTCCATATTTTTTAACAAAATAAATTTATTTAATTTTAGATGGTAATCATTTAGAAAACTCAATACATACTAATCATTACTAAGGGAGTCAATACTCTCTTAAAGTATTCAGATATTGCGGAAATGCCCGGTTCTACGTCTTTTTCTGGATAATCTTAAAGGTATTATGTCGATTCATGACGTAGCTGAGAGCAGTGGCAGCTGTGGTCAGGCCAGTCAGATACCAAAGGCCCTGCAAAGCGGGATGATCTGCGAAAGAAAAGTTATGATTTGTTTATTCTACTCCTGATAAAGCTTGTTGAAAAAATGTCTCACCCAAATAATTCCAAATGGGAGCTCCCAAACTTAGGCCGATGGTGGCCAACTGCACGCCAGTGTTAATCTTGCTAAGCAACGTTGGCTCTAGTTGAGCAGTCACATGTGTGGCATCGAAGTACCGCGAAAAGGTTTTCTACGGAAGAGTAATAAATGTGATTAAATGATCTAAACACTAGCAAAATCTTTAACTAACCGGCGGGGGCAGACTTATGTAGCGTATAACAAATCCAGCTGCTAGCAGGAACACATCTCGGAAGACTACAATACCGGCGAGCCACATAGGCAGCAGATCTGTGTAGCACAGTGATATGACCAGCGAACCCATCAACAGCTTGTCGGCCATGGGGTCCAGGAAGGAACCAAACTTGCTCGCCTGCGAGGGCCATCTGCGAGCGATCTGTCCGTCCAACTACGTTTTAAGAGATACGAAAATATTACTTTCTGAGGTACAGGTTAAATAAGCATATTTCTATTATAAAATGAGATGTATAGAAAACCCACACAATATTAACACTACTCTAGTATTAACTTTGAGTGTCATCGAAAAACATTCAAAGCATTTCAGAAATGTTTTTTAGCATACAAGTAAAGGTATTTGCCTAGGATAAACAAACTATTTTTAGCACTTAGCACTTAGCCATCGGCAAAATGAAATATATTATAAATGTTGGTTTTGCTCAATCAAAAAATATTATTCGCTTTGAATGGGTGTTGTATCTTACCAGATCGGTAACTCCGGCGAAAGCTAGCAGACTCATGCCCAGCGTAAAGTCGCCCTGGACGATCACATATCCAATGTAGGGGGACAGGAAGGCGCGGCTGATGGTCAGCATATTGGGTATGGTCATGATATTTTCGCGCTCCTCGCGGATCTCGTCGATCTTCTCGCGAACCCTCTCCTGGACCTTGTGTTTCGCCTCTCGGATGTCATCGACAATGAAGTTCTTCCTATCGATGACGCCCTGCAGGAGATGCCGTCCCTGCAGAGTGCGCAGATGAAGGGACTGTTTCTTTTCGTCGGCATAAAGCCGAAGTCTGGCCAGTTCATAGTTCCTCCTGCGCTTGATGTCCAGGAAGGAAATACGGATGAATCCTGTGGCGGCGGCATAGCGGTTTAAGCAGTTCACAAAGCTACTTCCACCGACTCCCAGAACGTGCTCCAAAGTGGCGGCTCCATGATGCAGTGGGCGCTGCACCTGCCGGAAAATGATGGCGGGCAGCATGGGTTAATAAACGTTCAATCCCTCTCTCAAGTCTAGACTCGTTCTCGGGCTCTGTAATCACAAAAAACCGACAATCAGTTCCAATTTAAAATCCGCAACCTTGGTTCGTCCAACGACCCTTGGACACATGCTATCACCGTACAAAATACGCACCATTGGTTGGAAATCTTTTCGTTTCTGGTCTTCCCTCAGTAGGTTACAAAACTCTGTTTAGGATTCTGTATTTAAATTTAACCAGTCCACAACATTTAAGGGAATTTTTAAAATTTTTACGAATGTAAATACCGACTCGCGTAATAAATAGAGTGGACCGGTTTCGTGAATCGCTTAGAATGCCGAAACGCTTTTTAAGGGTGACCAGAAAATGGGGCCTCCGTCAACTGGCCACACTAATCTATCCAACACCTACAGTTTTAAATTAGTTTTTAAAGCTTTTCGCGAAAGATTTTATGCTCAATTCGTAAAAGGTTTTCCTAAAAAAATAAAACAGCTAAATACAAGGGAAATTGCAATGATATTGTATCAGCGCGCCATGTTTGAATCAAGGTGACCATATCACAATCAGCAATCGGCCAAAGTACGATAGTTATCGGTTGTTAACGTTTCGGTAGCTTAAGTTTAAATTCAAAAGCACACAAGTAGGGGATACAAAAATTTAACTTCAATTGATTACAGTACACCAAGCACATTTACGCAAGAAGCCTTAATAAATATTAGTCATATTTAAAACCAATCATCAATTGTTATTATATATTGTCTTGATTATAAATTATCAGAAACCAATAAGCAGGGCCGTAGCTAGAGCCTCGGGGGCCCTGGGGCAACAAGTAAATTTGGGGCCCCCTATACGGGAGTCTTTTGTCAAATTTTATTCATAAGAAAGATCGATTTCAGCCAAGCGATCGACGAATTTGCGGCTTGCAAAGCGAGAAAGCGGCGTTTTTAATGGTATTTACCAAATGAGATACTGAGATATGTATGTTGAAATAAAGCGAAAACATGTAGTTTTGTACATTATCTAATAAAACTGTAAAAAATTTAGAATTTTTTTATTTTGTTAGATTATTGTGATCCATTTAAAGCCCATTCAGAAAGTCCGAAAGGCATGGTAAGGCTTTTTCAGAACTAAAAAAGGAAGCCCCGGCGGGGCCCCTTCCCTTCGGGGGCCCTGGGGCACCGCCCCACCTGCCCCATGCTAGCTACGGCCCTGCCAATAAGCTGCATAATGTATGCATGTGAAACGGGTGATAAGAAAAACGTCAAAGCTTTTATCAACAAATAAGGGCAAAAAGGACAATTTTAAATGGTTCGATATAAAACCGCCAACCAGCAGAGTATAAATATTAGTTCACATCGTCTGTTGGTGTTAATAAGTTGTTTTTGAAGGAAGGTATGAGACACATAATTGTATTTTTTTTAATTGCAATTGCTTTGCATGAAAGCTATGCAGAAGAGGAGGTGAGTTTATTAGTTAAACATTTCCGTAAAACAAAACGTCCTTCACTTCAAGATCTGCAGGTCGATGAAGATTTTCAAAGAATTATGAACTACAATAAGCTTGAGATAGCCGAAGGAGCCTGGTCATATTTGGCAATACAGCTGACTGAACTGACTCCCAAAAACGATTATATTTCTGACGAGCTTGATATCATGGAGCTACAAGTCGCTGAATTACTAAAGGCTACTAAAAAAGAGAAGGATTTGGAGGGGTCGGAGACGACTACTAGACAACCTGAACCACAAAATGAAAATAACCAAAAATATACCTTTTGAAATGTGTTTAAACAATAATAAAAACGCAATAAAAATTTTGTATTGTTCAAATTCGTTCTGTTTTTATTAAAGTTTCATAAATTGATTCAAAATTAACAAAAAGGTTTTATGTATATGCCTTTAATAAATGCATATTAAATTAAAAAAGTTGCTTTATGATAGGTATATATGTAATTAATTTGCAGGTTAAACTTGATAGAAACTTAAAAATGTTAAAAAGTAAGGAGATCATATGTTTCTATTTATATAACATTTGAAATGCATTTGGTGACATTTATAGTTTAAGCCAGTTTGTTTTGAAATGTTTTCTTTTATGTTGGCTCCTTATCCAAAAACTCATTCATATTCGATTGTTTGGTGGCTTTTCCATATTTTGCAATCGTGTAAGACCGACGTATTTAGCGTGCTAAAAGTGGGTGGGAGCAAATTTGTAACCGTGTAAGACCAAGTTCGTGCTAAAAGAGTCCGTGTTAAGCGAGGGCCAAGTGTATTTGATGTTACTGACTTTTTTGCTGGCTTGAATTGGTATCGTAAGGTCCTTCCAATTATCAACGACATCCCAATGTTTTGAAAAAAAAAATAGTTTATTAAAGTTTCGTTTTTTACAAATTTTAATACATTTTATTATTTGTTATTTTTATTTGGGGTTGAAGTCCTCTCGCAAATATAATAGGTTAATGTGGAGCAGCTTACGTCGTTCATAAAATGAATGTTGGTGTCAAAAACTGTAAATTGTTTTCGCATATGGATACATCGTTCGTCATAAAGTTTATTTGGCTCCGTATATGCCCATTTCAAGAATGGAGCTTTTTCCCCTGTGGACTCAGAAACATATTCGCCTCCGGATTTAAGGTTGTTGATATCCAGCCAATAGTTATTGTAGGGCCTCAACTTTTTAGTAATTGCGGTCCACTCCCCGTCGTTTTGGAGGCTTATGAGGCTACTGTTCATGCTGTTACATTTGGCCAGTGAGTCGTTCCAGTTCAGCTTTTCCCTGTTTTCGATATGGTAATACTTTTCACCGATCTTCTCAAAATTGGCACTTGACTTAATAAGCTTATCTTCTCCTACTTTCATAAATTTTTGCAGTTTTCTTATTTGCCTTTTCATAGGTAAAATCTGCTTCACTAGTACGAGGTAGGTGGAAATAAAGTTACCTACATCATCACTCATAGAGGGCATAAGGGCATTCATTTTAGCGATCCTCTTTAAAAACTTGTCTTGATCGAAATGATGTTCAGTTTTTCCTAGTTGTTCTACATTTTCCTCCTTCAGTTGTGGCTGAATCTGTTATTATTTTGTAAAACTAAAGTAATGTTATTTTTTAATAAAAACTAACAACTTACGACTTCTTCTGCAAAGCAATTTTGCAAAACAATTGCAAATAAGAGGAGAAAAAGAATGTTTTTCATATTGTAATCGAGCTATGTTCACTATGCTTTTACTTCATCCGCTTTGAGTTTATATAGACCCGGGAATGGGTCACAATAAATGCCAATGTCCTTGCCAGTGATAAAAACTCTTGACGCACTAATCTAATTGACGCAAAAGACTATTGCGTATAAACTGATTGGTCATTGGCAATTTTGCTAAACAATTGCAAATAGGAGGAGAAAAATAATATTTTTCATATTGTAATCGAGCTATGTTCACTATGCTTTTACTTGATCTTCTTGAAGTTTATATATACTCGAAAATGGGTCACAATAAATGCCAATGTCCTTTCCAGTGATAAAAACCCTAAACGCACTAATCTTGTTGACGCAAAACTCTAGCGTTAAAACTGATAGGGCATTGGCAGACAAGGCTTATAAAAACTCAATGCAGACAGCGAGAAGTGTTAGTTCACATAATTCATTCCAGAGTTTTGGTTGTGGTTATTAAAAAACATGCGACGTTACTTTATAGTCTTGTTATTGGGAATCATTTGGCAAATATGTTTTGGAGATGAAGTGGTAAGACAGCTTATGGCTACCTCCAATGATTAAACGATTAAAACCATCTTCTATTACAGGTTGAATCAGATAGGGAGGAAAATGAAACAGAAAGGATAAAGAGTGAGAAGTGGATGTTATCAGCGCTACAAGTAAATGAGCAACGTAGGGAAAATATGTTAATTTGGATTGCAAACTTTTCTGTGAAATATGGGGGCCTAAGAGAAAGGCTTTCCACCTTGGATAAACAAATCGCAGAACTACAAAGGGTTACTGGTTTTCATGACCATTCTACTGGATGGCTACACAATTTTAAGAGAATTGGTGCAAAATACTACTATGTTGAAGACAAAAAACAACTTAACTGGACAGAATCCCACGATAAATGTCAAAGTATGAATGCTGGCCTAATAAGTCTGCAGAATAAGCAGGAGTGGATTCAAATCAAAGAAATTTTGCAGTCGAACCACACCTATTGGTCGAAATACCCCAATTTTTCGAAAGCAAACGACGAAATGATCGAGATGGTGGAACCTCATCTTTTAGACCCAAACGAACCTTACACATTATTAAATAAAAATGACTGCTTCGTCCTTCAGACCAAATTTATACATGGCATTTCCACAGAGAGCTGCTCTGCAGAACATTTTTACATTTGCGAATCATTGATAACACTAATTCCATAAGCTATAAAGAATATGATTATAAAGAAATAAAACAAGAACACCATTTTGGTAAAGTGGTAATGGGAAATGTTTCTTACAATATGATTAGTATGGTCAATCAAAAGAAAAACGAAAGCAATGCTTGTTTTAAAAAGCTAACATAATTTTCAACTTGCATGTTGGTGCGAAAATTTGAATCTACAAATTTGTGCAGCTTGGACCATATTAAATTTATTATCGTTTTTCACGATACGCAAAATATTTAATGAAGGCACCATTAATAAGCCAGACCGCAAGCTGCTCTGGACTTGTCAGTCGTTTAATTGGATTAAATTTAATTACACTTCCACTTAACCCGGGCGAACGTTGCTCGTTGGCCGTCTTGGATATGCAAATTAAGCCGCGGTTAACGTTTATTACTTAATATAAACTTTGGCAGCGGCTCGACCATGACCTGACCCTATCGTCCGGCTAATGAATTTTCCCGAAAAGTTGCCAAGCCGAATCTGTTTAATGGTCACAATTATGGACATGCCGTCCTAGTTAATAAGACGCACCGCAGCGAATAATTATGAAAGACTGTCAGGTTGTATTTTCGCCAAGGCAGGCACAAAACAGCTTCCCGTTCTAGATTGCTTATTAAGTCACGTCCTGGGCTTCATGGCTATTTTAAGGGAGAGAGGAGACTATGAAACTTTTCAGGAATTTTCCCCAACGGGCTGCAAGACAATGCATCGGCATTAATAATGGACTGCAGGCGAAGGTGTTCGCCTCAATAATGTCCGTGGCATGTCAACCGTCATTCTGCATGTTAATTTCCAGCATCCGCTTTCCTTTTTTATTCCGATTTTCTGAATGGCACTCAGGGCTACTCAGTAGCTGTCTGCCATAAACAGGAAGCCCAGGCAGGGCGGAAAATGTGGAAAATTCGCGACAGCGCAAGAGATTGAGAACT